AATTAAGATACTTATTTAAATATATAATTATTTCATTGTTAAATTTAAGTTATTTTCATCATAAGTAAGATAAACTTATTTCATGTAATAATAAAACTTGAGTCTTCAGTAGTAAAAATAGTAAATTTTCCTAATAAATTAATTATACTACCGCTTAAAGAAATTATTTTTATGTAATTCTCTGACACCACGAAAGTAGCCATGTATGAATGGCGTTACCTATGAAATGAGTTTGCTTACCGGCGAAAGGGTAAACATTTTTTACTGTATGCAGTTGAAGTGATTCTTCAAAAAGATACTATGATTTTAATATTTCCATGTTAATTTTTTCCAACATTATAAAAATAATTTGAACACCAATTTAATTAAGAATTCCCTTACTCTGGTGAAGTCTTCCGGATTTAAGACATGTGAATCACCTTAACCTCGCGGCACTACTATAATGGCATCTCAGATAACTAAGGAATAAATGAAAGGAAATACATCTCATGTCACTGCTGTACCAAATATTCTTTGGCTGTACTTTTCAGAATATTACATAATGTACACTTGGTATTATACGATACCAGATAACTAAATAATTTTCTTTTCTGGGATCAGACGGCAGCAGCAATCACATTTTATTTTCTTTCACCTTTCCTCCCTTCTTTTAAAGAATAATAGCATAAAAAGAGTTTAAATTTTTGAGAATAAATATTTAGCCAGAAATTAGCTAATTCTCAGTAAAGAGATGTTTACAAAAATGAGCATTAGTAGCGAAACTGATATTTTGACACCCTCAACTTTTTATATTTAATTAAAAAAAATTTTTGCTTTGTAGAAATGATTTTATAAAGTTTCCGACATTTTAAAATAAGCAAACAACTATTATATGTTTTCAGTTTTCATGGCGGACTTGCTAAATTAACAGTTGTCATACGAATTCATATAAGTTTTCATACAATCTCGTGTGCAGTTGTCAGAATATAAAAATTAATTTATACATGAATAATTATTAATTTATACGTTAATAATTGTCAATAATTATTAACATATAAATTATTATGTATATGTATTTAAAGATAGTTCACATTTTAATAAATGAAAGAATGTAATCAATTTTAGAATGAATTTATATTAAAAAATATGTTTACAAATTTCGTAAGGAAAGCAGAATTCTTTCTTTAACAGTCATAAAAAAAGTTCTGCTATTAATAATAATAATTTGAAGACTATTGGGGCCTTTGCCAAAGATATATATACTAAAGAGGAAGACAAGCCCATCAGCGTAAAATGTAGCGTAAAAGCCCATCAGCGTGTAAAAGAGCTAACAAAGTAAATTACGATCAATAAGTGTAATAACGTATATTAAGAGTGAAAAACAATGCGTATGTATTGTCAGTTTTAACCTTAATGAGAATTCAAAAATTAAGTATTTACTAATATAGATTAATTTCTACTAGCCCAAAATATAATATATCATATCTGAAAGAGTGCAATACTGATTGCAGTAAAATCTTTATATATGTGTTTAAAAAACTCTGCTTATATATAATTCTGCATGAGCATCTTTAACGCGATTCACATAATTAAAATTTTTATGTATGACAATGAATATTTACTAATCACTTCTGTAAAAACAATTAGCAGTGGCTCGATGAGCATGATTAAACAAAACCAAAATACATCACGATTTGTAACTAACTCATAGTATCGCATTTTTTTTCCAGCTTTGCTTATCAGAATTTCACATGTGTCAATAACAGATAACATATCCAGCTTTTTAAGAGCTCAGTCTAAATTGGTATATTACCGAAGGGAAAAACAGTAACACTAACAAGAAATTAAAAAGAATTAAATCCGAGACAAAATTTAGATAAAATTGAACGGTAGCGCCATCTATTGACTCTTAATCGAAATTGAACTAAAATATCAGTAATTAAATATTGGTAAATATTAAATCATACAACAAATCTTTAAGGTTGTCGAAAAATTTCCTAGCAGTTTTTAATTCCGACATATGGAAATGTGTCTATATTATTGGACTTGCAATTCATCTTAGCTAGACAAAGCATATGACTATTTTTCGAGGGGTTCAGAAGCAAAACAGTGTAATCCACGGATAGATATTTTGATAATGGATTGTAAATTACATGTTTTAACTTGTTTTTATATTTATATCTGATGACTAACCATAACTGAACTATGTATTAACAGCATGTTTAAGAACCTAAATAAAATTTGAAAATGAATATCTAAGCTCCCGCTTAAAAAAACAAGAAACCCTGCTAAATAACCGAGTTTTTTTTTTGGGGGGGGGGGAGCAGATTAATACATGGTAAGAATTAAGATAATTAAATTATTTCTCAAGAATAGAAATCCTGGAATGGTTATCACTGAATATATATTAACTGTTTCCAAAGTATAAATAAGTTAGTGTGTGATTATGAAGTTTTACTACAAGAAAAAAATTCAGTTTTTTATTATTAGCCGAAAACGGCTATTAGTGTTGAAATAGCGGCTATAACAGGGATGGCCAACCTTCAAACCGATAGGAGCCGCATAGGTTTTATGAACGTTCGAGAGCTGCAAATCCGAATTTATATCGTTTAAAAAATAATGAGACAGGTTTTGAATATAAATAAATTTTTGAAGTAAATTAATAAATATGTTATTAACATGATTACATATGAACAAAGAACAAACACACCTTTTCGTGTTCAGAAAAGTTAGCCCCAAGAAAATAAAAATTTATAACTCTTGTACTGGTCAACAGAGCTTTTTATCTTCAGGTAGAGAAACCAAATATTTCTTCTGATTTCCTTTATAACTCTCCGTTTATAATTACTGTTGTTTTATTTTAGTAGAAGTAAAATGAATCGGGAGCATATTCATTGGTCTCTAATTACATAAAAATTATATCTGAGTAAATTTCAAATAATTATGTAAAAGAAAATCGAGCGTTTCTTTTTCACTCATGAGCAGTCTTTTAGAAAGGAAAAACTAAATGATGCACGTCAATGCACACTGCAGAGAAACTGTTACTCGAAAAAAAAAAAAAAATTTATTTAAAAATAAGCTATTAACTTGTTTGGGATTTTATTTAAAAAGTAATTTTGTTTCTCCACACAATTAACATAAGAACCAACATACTGAGATCATTCGAATCTTTGGATCCTCAAGAAGAATTCAGCCCCCCCAAAAAAAGAATATGATTGCAATTTCAGTGGTATTTGAATAAACAGTATCTCTCATGGCAGGCTTGACTAATGAAGTATTTCAGCGTGGTATCCAACGGGATATGCCAGAATGTTTTAGTAATCAGTACACTGCGCATCAATGAATATTCTGGAAGCAATCTCACGAATCGTCCCAATAATTTTGGACATAGATAATGAAGTTCATGCGCATCATTGGAAATTCTCGAAATCATCCTCATAATTTTGGACATAGAATAACGAAGTTTATGTGCATCATTGAAGCCTTGAAGCCTATATATATATATATAGTGCTTCATATATTAAGCATAACCATTATATTAAGCATATATAGTGCTTTATATATTAAGCAGGTAATACGAAAGCAAATTTTAGGAATAACAATGTGCATTATTGTTACTTTCATTCCGTAATTCATTGTTGCCGTTCTTCATTTCTTTGTCCCGCCTTGTTCTCAGTATCAAAATGTGGACAGGTATAGGATTTTTTTATTTTTCAATATGCAAAAGTGCTGAGTGCAAGAAAAACAATATTAATTGGCGCGGGTTTTGTTTTAGCTGAGACGTTTTCAGCGATTGAAAGAATTTCAGCGATTTATCATCTTCATCTGCAACTGAATGAAAGACAAATCAAAAAATTATGGAGAACTTTGTTAGTAGCTAACAACGATGCCCTCTGTAATAAAGAAGAAAAGAAAATTAACATGAATTAACAAAGCAAGTCATGCCATGCGCCATCTGGGACGAAGAATTTAATCAGATTCAGAAATGATCTCTGTTTATAGATGGATACTGATCTCTGTATTTGTTGCGGTACTCGTCTTCATTCGGTCGCAACTGAAGAAAGCGATTTTATTCGTTACTGAGAATGCTCCTAGTAAAATAAAAATCTAAACCAATTAAATTGTTTTTTAAACCTAAAGGGCGTTAGCCCAGGAGGGCCATTAATTTCAAAACAGCATTTTGCGTCGATTCACTTTTCAAACTGTTGCCACCGAATATTATCGCCATGTATAATATTTAAAGAAACCAAATAATGAAGAATCTGTATGAATGTATGAATGTTTCTCGCATTGTGACAAAACAACGGTTCCTAGAGCCATCAAATTTTGAATAACGTAGTTCTCAACCGAACATGGGCACTTGTAAGACCAAATTTTGAATTTCGAATTTGTTTTATTATCTATTTCAAATTTTGTTAAACTTTACGAATTTTTGGTTAACAAATTCAACTATTTCAAAGCGAGCAATGGCTATACGGAAAAATAAAACATTATCTCCAGCGCACGAGACTGTGTATCAGAAATTCTAAAGATACGCTGTTTTTAAATATTTTGTGATATTGCTCTTGAATTGTGATATTGCTTTTAAATATTTTGTGATATTGAATTTTATGTGGTTTAAGTGCGAAGAACATGATATTTAATAAATAAAGGTAACAACACACACACACACACACAAAAAAAAAAAAAAAAAAAAAAAGCGCCCCAGCCCTTTTGGGCGTAATATAAAATCTGAAAGTTTTCAGATTTTCTTTTTTCCCTATTTATTTGAAATGTCTTACTTTTCTATGCTATTTACGCTATAACATTTAAATTATCGGTATGAGATTTGTTGTGCAGATCTTCTCCGTAGAACGGTTTTCAGATTAAAGTTTTTATGAATTATAAGAAAAATTGTGCATTTCTTTTATGTTTACCAAAGATAATATAGAAACGCGATTAACTGGCATTTCTAAAATAAAGATTTTAACGTATTAACGTAACGTTTACATATGTCCTGTCGGTAAAGCAATAAAATAAAATAAGGTTTTCAAAATAATTTTATTACACATTTAAACGAGAAACACAACAAATTCTTATATATTTATATATCGTGGTAAAAATAACTTACGATACATATTTCTTCTTGGGATTTAGGCGAATACAATACACCAGATATTAAAACATTCTCTCAATAGGAAAAATTGTAAAACAAGCATATCCGTCAAATCACTTTTTTTCTCGAGTTCTATAGAACTCGAAATAATGTTGGCTGTAAGCAAAGTAGTGCTTTTAAAATTTCTAAAAATCAGCCATTGAAAAGCAGAACAAAGTATTTAAATAAAAACCTTCATATATACATATATAGTATTTGAATATTTTCTCACCTCATTTAAAAAATCATTTCATGTTTTACATAATTTCATTATGCCCACCACTTTCTCTTTACCAATGTAGAAATAAGAAGATTATTAGTATAATTTGAAATATATCATACAAAATTATTCAATGAATAGTAAGAAATTGAGAATCCTAGCTAACTAATAAAAAGTTAAACAATATTCCACCCTGAAAAAGTGTTAAAATATTAAAATATACATATAGAATAAAACACTTTATATAAATATTGAACTATATACATTTTCCAAACAAGGGGAAATCCTGAAAAATGAAGGGATCTTAATTCACATGAACACTTACATCAATCAACGTTTATTGTTTGATTAAGAAGGTTTTATAAATAGGAAGGAGTTAAATTTTAGCACAGTCCACCATTTTATGCCTTTAACAGCCAATATATATTTATACACACACACACAGAATATAAATCAGTACATATGGTTAAAGCACTTGTTACATTCGGGATTAATGAAATGAGCACATTAAATAATTTACTACAATCATTCTTGAGACGACAGAGAGATCTAGTGGCAGATGGACTTAGTAAATGTTATACTAGTTAAATAACACTTTTTTTTACTATTTTTTTTTTTATTTCAAGATTTGTAATAGGTATGACTGATCACATGAGTTGAAAATTCGGTTATGTAAGAGAAAAAGAAGATAGTGTTCAAGAAGAATTCACTCAAACAAAAGTACATTTTATATTCCAAAGTTAATTTATTTTCTAAATTTGGAATTTGATTTTAAAAAATAATTTAAATAACACCTAGCCAAGGATTTACCGTTCTTTTTAATGCTTGTTTTGTATATGTATTTATAAAATGCTTTACAAAATTAGTATTGAAATGCTGGTTAAAGAAAATATTTAACTATTTTACATATTTACATATAAATGCAATGGAGTAATAACGGTCCTCGAAATTCTAGTGCATTACTAAGTCGTGACAAAAAGAAATAGAGTAACATAGTTCCTGATATTTTAGTGCAAGTCTTGATGACTGCTCCGATATGTATAGGACAGAATTATGGACCATTTATTGTCTGTCTGCCAGTCTCGCCAGTATATCCAAATGGAGAAAGTCGCTTAGCTAACAGATCTTATATATTTCAAGCAGACGTGAGTTAAGCGGAAGTTTTGTGGTTATTTTGTTTTTGGTGAATGTTGGCAGTGGGAAAGATAAAGTAATGTTATGAAGAATATTTCACGGAAAATAAAAACAAAATAAAATAAGAAAATATCTATTGCTATGTATCCTTAAGTGCTCCAAGATGACAAATTTAAATGCATTTCTTCAAGACACCCCTATGAAAAATAGCCTAGAGCTCGTTTCTGTAGCTGTAGACATTCTGTCGGGAAGCGTTTTTGTGCTGAAGAGAAAACAGCGGTTCTAGTATTAAGTCTTGGCTTTAAAAAAGAAAAGAGCCAAGCCCTGAAACAAGTCTGACTGAAAGGTCAGACTAAACGGAGAAAGGAGGTGGATGAATGGAAAAAGGTTTGGTAGATGAAATCAAAATAGTGAAATGTGTAGAATTAAGATAAAGAATTTAAGTATGTTCTGTTGGCGGCTTCAAGTTTATGAAGTAACTACGAGTTGATGAAGAGAAATTAATGCTAGAGAAGCATTTATGGAGGATGGGGAGGAAAAGAACCAGGAGTTGTTAAGATTTCTTTTCAATTAGCTAAAACTCTCAAAGACTGTAATAAAGCTTAGTCTGAGGACGTGCTTTTTTCAATTATATGATAACCTGGCTAGACCATGAAAGTGAACCAGGGATTACGAACATACATATTTATTCAAGTATGTAATTGTGTTATTAACAGACTGTTCAAGTGTACTAGGAACAATTAATTAGTAAGCCATTTCAAAGAGATGGACTACCATCCTTGCATCATGCCATCCTTTTTTTTTTTTCTGCCAAGATTTAATGGCAGGAGACTTAAGTTGTCTATATAATACTGCACCAAGTGAATCCGAGGAGTCATCAAAACTTTGGTTTTACAGCGGTGATGGCATAAGATATAATGAACCTGAGGTAACCATGACCTGCTCGGACAGACTATCTTTCGAATAATATACTGGATATGTGGATGATTACATGATAGCACATTAAGCATACCTTGCTCCTAATTATGAGAGAAATGTTCAGAATATTTTACATGCATTATAAATTCTAAATTAGTCTTCTTGACGCGGTAAATGCATTCTGTAATCCTGTTAGATCCACTCTCTGCCTGACGTTGATTAGTTGTCTTTAAGTTATACACGTGGTTATGTTCGCTTCATTTCTGTTAGATCTCGAAGTAACTAAACGAGTCTCCATCCCACTTTTAAACAGTAAAACAGTAATCAGCCAAATATTATCCGACATGTGGCCTAGGAATGCATCTACCAATTAAATTCTTCATAGCTGAAGTGGACTGCAAGAAAGTCATTTTCTGTATCAAGCATAAAGGTTTCGAACCTTTCTTTTTTATTATTATAGAATATTACTCAACCCTTTACTGGTTGCACTGAAATCCTGTAAAACATCATGATTGGGTATTATTTTTTTTTAAGAGTGCTTTTTTTTTGTGCGGGGGCGGGGGTATTATTTTCATACGGTATTTTTGGCTTTGCGTTATTTTTATTCACTGAATATTTTTACAATGCACATCTTTCCGTTTGTATGGTTTTATGAAGATGTATTTTCCTAATTTTGTATTATATTGTACGATAAACTTTTAAGTATTATTTTTATAATGATGCATATCTTTTATTTATGTAGTATATGAAATAAACAATTTTGGGAATTATTGTAAAATATGTATTGATGTATGGAATTTGTTGAAGTATTTTAAAGCGCGGTTAAAAGAATTGCCAGGGATTGACTACAGCTGAGCAAAAAGTATCAGGGAAAGTGGATCTTTGGAAAAAAACAGAGATTCAACTTTTAATTTTCCTTCATCTGGAAATAAGAACACCTTTTCGAAAGCATACCTTCATCTTAGAAGGACAGCCTTGGAAAGACAACCTTGTGCTTTATCAGAATTAGACAATCTAGTTCTTCATCTGGGGAAAAAATAATCGAAATCGGAAATATCTCTAATGCTCGCTAAAACTTTACATAAATTAAATCATTTTTCCATCTGCCACCAGTTTTGGCAACATTAAATTAAAAATATCACTGAAATACCGTATCTAGCATATAAGAAATTTCAAAGAAATGAACAAGTTTAGAGTGTCAGTTAAGGCTGATGTAATTCTGTAGACTATGTAAAATATGTCGAATAATATTTCTTCTCTTTAAAATCTTATTATTATGATTCTATTTTCTTACTTCCTATTGCACGATGCAGAACGAAATAAAGCTTAATTACAGCAGATTTATTAATGATTCATATCGTAAAATGAGAGATTTGAGTCTTAGGAAAATGTTAAACGAAAAAATGTCAACTACATATACCTTCTAAAAATCCGTAATATAATACTCAATTAGTAAACTAAAATTCACCATGTAAAATGTCTCTAAGTACAGAATTCATGCCTATTTTATTTGAGGAAGATTTTGCCAATTTTGTTCGTTTATAAATTATCTCATCATTTTGTCTTCGATCTGATGATTTCAGAGCTGCTCCTCATTGCTTAATACCAAATAGCTTATGTTTTCATCATTTGAGCCTTATTCTACAATACCTCAATTTATACTCCCTATCTTTTCCAAAAAAATATGTTTTCACTTGTTTGCTTTTTATTTGTGATATTTTTAAATAAAGTATGGAACTAGCTCAATTCTCTCTTGATTACTCTACTTATTTCAGTAAAAGGAACCATAAATAGGAACTCCGCGATAGTTCGATTGTTTACGTTTCTATACAACTGTTTATGATATGATAGATTTTTCTGCTCGTTAAATTGATTAGCTTAATTTTCAGATTGAGCTGATTTTAGTCATGTGGTTGGTATAAAAGTATTCGTTTAAAGCTTAGATACATGACCTGACCCTTTTTACATGCTTTAATTATTCATACGAAAATTGTTTGCAGTTTTGTATCACATTAAATTATTTTTCTTCCTAACAATAAATTATTTTCCCTTTTGTTGCATGAGAATATATTTTACTTAATTTGAATATTGATGTACTTCAGGTTTTACGGAAGTTGCTTTTATGTGTGAGATTTGTATTATTACTATTAAAATTGGAATTTGTAAGTAAAATGAACCAAACTTCATTTGTGTTTCTTCCTTAAAGAGCTGATATGTTCTTCCCTTATAATGCTCTTCCGATAGCCATATACGTCTTCTGTGTGCAGCTTAATATTTAAAAACATATGAAGATAATTTAATCCCTGATTTTTATTTTAAAAACATAGTTATTTAATTTTGTTTCAAAATGGTACTTAAAATATTTAACCATCTTCCTTGTAGAGCACCTTCAAATTTTTTAAGTTCATAAGACGTCTTAAATAGCAAAACAAAAGAAGCATTCTTATATGAAAATTCCTTTCTATTTTTAAAAAAAAAAACTCCTTCAAAAATGCTCAGTCATCTTTTACATGTGAGGTAGTATTATAATCTGGCCAATACAATAATCCTTCTAATGTATATTTTATGCAGTTTTCCTAAATAACGTTCCTATTGATCACGAACACGATCCTTTTTTAAATTCATGAAATATGATCTACTACATTAAAGCTTTTCAATTAACATAAATTTTTTTAAAAAATGTGTACTTATTTTAAAGATTACTATGAATTTTAATGATTTTGAAGAACTCTAATTATGAACAGGGAAAAAATTAGCGTTTTATATAAGTAATTTATGATTATTTTATACGTCATTGCAATTGATTGAGTTCAAAAATCAAAGCTTCGGTTTCAAAATACTAACAAACAAGATACACATTTTCGAGATGAAAGAATCGTCTTCATCTTTTTCCACTCATATGCCGAGATTACAAGTACTATCAGCTGGACAACTATGGATGATTTTTCAAGTAAATAATGATTAACATATTTTTTGGGCACTTTTAACACATTAGGCACTGGAAAACGATAATAAATGTAGAGGCGGAGAAAGGATAAAAATGATGGACGAGAGAAAGTCATAAAAGTGTAGACAAGTTAAGAGTACATTACAACCAATCCACCATAATAATTTAATCTGTTTATATATTTCATTCCTCTTTTATTCCTAACATTTATAAATATTTTCACTTCCTATAAGCTCCATCTTGTACATAGAACAAGAGAATTTGATATTTCATATAGTCCAAACCTGAACTTTTTCCGCTACTACGCACCAATTGGCGTGGTCGTAGTAAGAGGATAGGATGTGTAAATTTTCAACATGGCTTTCGATAAGATTATCGAGCTCCCCCTGGCGGAAGACATGGTAATACCTGTGGTATGCCATCAAACCACCAGTCTCATTTCCTGGAAGACTTTCCTGAGAGGTTGATTGGGACAGGGAAGAATTCCGGCTCAATTCAGTCCGGCTGTTGGACATTACCTCCTCGACAGACCGCTGTCTGGGCTTTATTCGAGGTGAGCAAGGTGCAGACTGAGTCGAATGTGAAGACTCATCGTCTTTTTCAAAAGAATCTTGACGAATTCTTTCCAAGCACACACTTTGCGAAGAACGGTTCAAGATTTTCAACTTTTCAGGCACCTTCTTTGTGTCCTTTCCTGTGCCCGTAGAATTTGCATCGGGGGTTACTGAATCATCGCTGACTTTGGAAACCTTCTTTTCAGGAGTTTCAAAAGAGTTCTTCTTTGAGCAACGATCTGAATTTTGAGTTTTATTCGAAATGCTGGAAAGGCTATTTATTTCTTTCCCAGAATCTTTCTTTGGCTTAGTCTCGGATTCCGGGGGAAGTTTCACAAAAGTCTGGCCGATGCAATTATTTTTGAGCTCAAGCTTCGAATTCTTTACATCAGTATTTGGCATATTATAGGCACTTCCATTGATGCTAGGTTTTTTAATTCCATCCCTAAATTAAAATAGAATACAATAATAAAGAATTCGAAGATATTATCAAGAAGTTTTATTTTGGTACAAATAGGAAAAGCAACCCTAATAATTGTGTCACAATCTAAAAAATTAGATCTTAATCCATTGGTACAATATTTATCAGTATTAGATGAATCTGTGTTTCGAGCTTATGATTATAATACTGGTAAAAATTCAGATCAAAACATAAATTTTTTTTTAATCCTAAGTCAGGTTTAGTTTCTGCTATTTCACTAAGTTGTGAAATTCCATGATAGTTTAAGCAAAAGTAAATCGTTGTTTTTTTAACATTTAAATTCATGCAGGTTAATAAATTTATAATGGATCTATTGCTGAGAAATATTTTAACGAATTTCATTTTTAATTCAGGAAGCCCAAAATAACCGTAAAACTTTATAAAAGGCTGTAATGTCATGTATTCTTTGCTATCACAAAATGTACGAGACATCGGAAGAGTGTTTGGTGAATTATCACTAAGTCTTTTAAAGTACTGCAATATCAGGAGAAGGGTATATAGAATTCTTTATTAACTTAAATAAAGTTTAGCAGTTGGAACCAACTCGTGCTTACAGAAGGCAACTATTTTGGCTTAAATTAAGTAATGGATAACTTAAAATTGACGAAGTCAAATATAACCTAACGGCTTCACAGTTTAACCATCGCGTAAGCTGGCTCTCTCGAAGTGGCGTAAACAAGCCTAATGGCAAGAATAACTTAATGACGCAAAATTCTAAACGCTAAAAATTCAAGGTCAGCAACGTGGCCTACAAGCAGGGACTTCGCGCATGCTGGAAATTCGTATTCTGGCAGGGAAATGAAATGAGGTTTGAAAGAAAAGGTACTTTAATTTAAAATAACTGGTTAGAAAATTAAATGACATTCTGCAAGGTAAAACAATTCTTATACGTAGTTCATGGTAATAATTTTATTTTCTGCTCTTATACCATCTCTAGCTTGCAAAATCTTTAAGCTTAATTTATGCTGCTTCACATTCCTAATCGTGAGATCATTTTTAAACTAATATAATTTCAAAATTAATTATATTCTTTTAGGCATATTTAAACGAAGAGCCATCCAATTACAGAAATTCTTCATAATATCGAGATATTTCAGAAATACATGCCATAGTTGTCAAGCTAACTCTACTGAAAAACAAATCTTTGGATACCTTCTTTATAAAGACCATGTTTTGAAAATAGAATAAGTTTGAATTTTTGTCTTGAGGTAACCAACATAAAGTCATCAAGGTACTTAATCATTACGGTCCATTAATCATTATCTTAAATCTGAACTATTGGAGGAGAGTTCTACTTCGGTGCTTCCTCAAAATTGCTCCAAGAGATCACTTGTCAAATTAATGATAGAAAGAAGAGCGTTTCTATGTCTCTTCGCTCAATATCCATGATTTTATTTGTTATTCTTAACAGTAAATATTTTAGATCAGGCACAGCAAACTCAGTATCTCAAGTGGGCCAAATAATCAACATAATAATCAAATAATCAAATAATCAATCTAAAAGCTAAGGCTAAAACTGCGTTTCATGCTTTTACTTTTTTTAGTTCCCAGGAGCAAAACCACCCCTTAGAAACTACAGGCAATAATTCTTATATACGCAGTATGAAGACAATGTAAATTGCCGCATCTCTAAACAACATAATTACACACCTCAGCAAGCACCTTACCATTTAATATACTTTTTAAGATACAGAAAAAAAAAACTACATTATGCAGATTTTGAGAAAATGAACGACGCAATGAAAAGGAAGAAATAAAAATTTTAAAAAAATGAATAAAATTTGTACATGAAATCGCTCTTTTCCTAAACTTGCGTAATCATTTAACTGGATAGAGCAGTAATGAAAATGGAAAAAAATATAATCTAATGCCGCTTGTGAAGTAAATACAAACAATTACTCGGCATAGTGCAGATGCTTATAGCCCATGAATAGAATCCTAAAATGTTAAGTGAGTACTATACATAATGCATTTGTTTACTCTATACACAATTTATATACAACACGGGATTGATGCAACGTATCATACACCAAACATGCTCGAGCAGGGTACGGTTTGTTGACTGAGCTAGATGAGCGGCTTATAAAGGCAGCTCTGAAAGAGTACCAAGCATGACTGGCCACTGACTTGTTGAAAAATCACCTAAATATGTTGCGTTAAGAATGGTAACAAACTCGGCCCGTAATTTCATTAGTTTAATATGCTATCGGGAAGATGTTACGGAAAACAACCACCAGCATCTGAGTTCGTATAATACGATTTCTCAGACGTTCACTCTAATTGCCAAGTACATGTGGTGTTCGTTATAAATGCTCATTCCTTGAGTTGGTGTTTGCAGAACTCAGGTGTGCCAGTTAATGACGCTCTAGTACATCCCGGTCTTATCACTAAATACCATAAAACCGACTGGAGAATCTCGCATGCTGACTGGGGCAGCCATCATAATACAAGCGACTATATTCGAAAGATTTTTATTATCACAATCGTTTTCAGTTATAATGATAAGACGTCAGTTATTTTGATGTCCTTTATCTGGCTGTCTACTGAGTCCGTGTAGCGAGAATATGCTTTCTGAAAACAAAGATGGGCTGAGTATGTATCTCTAAGGAATATCCTAATTAGGTTCATACGTTGTAAAAAAAAATTGAAGTACCTATTTCTTAAAAACACATAAAACCGTAAAGTGGTTTACTATCAGTTTTAAAATATTAGATAATTTAGTGTTGAGTTTCTGTTTTCAGACCTTATAATTTATTTATTTATTTTTTAGAAGTTCGATAAAGGTTGAAACTGTACGATTATTTTGCTTTTCATTCTTAACATATTTTACATGTTGGAGAGAAAGAATTTGATCAATGATGTTGTTTCCACTTTTAACTCATAATTTTGTTCCAAAAGAACCTTTTAAGCCGAAAGATTGAAATAGAATATTCAATCTTTCGGCCTAAAATGTTTACGCAAATGTAGACTAATCTAAGAATATGAATTCTATTAAGAAATAGGTTCCTAGTAAGTTTCCATGGTTTATAAATGAAATGACTAATAGTCAATTTTAATATTTTCCAACTATTTTGATTCACAACTTTCACTTTAAAAAATACATAAATTTAGCTTGATTGAAAGATGCGCAATAGCGCATTATGATTTGGATAGCAATACTCTAAAAACACTATCAGTTTGCATGCTGTACAAAAGCAGGTGGAACCAAGATTACTGGACTTTGAAGCTGCTCTTGTATGACATCATTTATCCCTAATCTGCTCAAAAATAAGTACTTCCTCTGTGGCTTCTTCTACCTTTTCTGAAAGTGATGTCAGCGTTGGAAAGAACCTAACCATGCTTGTCTACTGATCTTGGGTGGAAACGTTAAGAGTTTACGCAAATGTAGACTAATCTAAGAAGTATTGATGGTGTATGTGATAAGTAATGAATTTCTCATAAGTTTTCCTCTAGATCTAATTCGGTGAAATTGATTTACGAATCTTTTCAATTTCCTTGGCTCCTAATTCATTTTTGATCAGTTATTGTCTCTTCATGCTTTCGATTTCTATATAAATTCTATTGCAAAGAGCGGGTTTTTAGTTATCCTTTTATTTTACAAATATTTAAAATGTAAAATAGAGATTAAAAATAAATACTTTAGTTTAATATTTTCTATGAGGTATTATTTTTTTCTGTTACCAGAGATATTTTTTTGAAAAGTACTGAATGTTTTAGAAAATTGCAGTAGCTATAACTCGTCTAAGACGTCTGAAGTCTGGTTAGATTAGTTAAGCTGGTTTTAGGAAAATGCTATAGCTATAACTCATCTAAAATGTCTGAACATTAGTTAGATTATTAACCTAAATACTGCTGAGAAGTAAATATTTGAAAGATAATTTAAAAATTAAAAATTATTAGGCAAGTCTTCAAGTTTTACTCAAGTTTTCTTTAAAGCATTATTTTATGCCTCTAAAGTCATTATGTATGCCCAATGTAAAAGTTATTTATTAGTTTTTGCTAGAAAAATTTACACAAACCTTTTCTCTGGCACTCCATCATCCTTCGAGTTATCCAGATGTTGTTCTGTTGATTTATTCTTCCGATTATTTGCGTGCGGTGGATTGCTAGATGTAAGAATTCTTTCGAAAGAAGAAATCTCAACGGAATCATCAGAACTGACATCGTCAAATTTTGTTTCTTGTCTCGGATATAGCTCTCCAAAAGCTGATGTAATATCGGAGATCGTTTCAACGAAAGCAGCCAAAATGTCAGTAGGAGCTTCATTATCATCAGCATTCTTTCGTGAAGGAGGGAACAATTCTAAAGAATCGGGTGCCAAGTCAGGAATGATCATGCCTATTGCAGATGGCTCTTTCTCTTCTGGCTCAGAGAGATCTGGTTTTCGGTTTTCCTTATTACCTTTCGCTCTGTCATCAAAGCTTATTCTGTACATATCTCGACAGTCTGCAGCACAACTAAAGAAGTTCTCTCGCCTTTGAGCAAAGTCCATCGATCTCTCTGGTTTCCAAGATGAAGATGCTGAAGGCGACTTGTCTTCCCCTTCTTCTCCATGGCTCTGGTCATCGTCTGGTATTTCGTCAATGTTATCCAGCCCCCAGTTAGAGATCTGTTTGCTAGAGGAACCTTCGCATTCGCTATCACTTCCTAGCTTAGCTCTGACTGAATCCAAAATATCTAGAGACGCTGATGAGGAAGAGGATGCGATATCTGTTTTCCTAGCGAAGTCTTCGGAGAAGGCAGAATCAGACTTGGCCTCCACATCTGATAGCTTGCTTAAGTTGTCACTATCGCTTTCTTTCGAAGAGCGATCATCAGATTTTTCTCTCTGCATAACACCGCGGATTCGATCAGATGTTGTCGAAAAGTCTGTTGCGTTAGAAGACGATGACGCTGATTTGCCAATTGAAGATGATGGCGTTTCAAAGAATACACACATTTCTTTGTCCCCGAAGACATTGAATTTGGTTTCCGTTTCAGCCACATTGACATCATCACAGCATATTTCAATGGAGGGTTCTTCTTTTTGTATATCACTCCCAGTAGTTACTGTAGTAATGCTGCCGCTGCAACAAGCAGCCCCGCTCGAAGAATCCGTCTCGATCCTATCAAAATCATTCCATTCTAATGACACCGAAGAAGAAGGTGAAGTATCTTCGGAGGAAATGAAATCCCTGCATTCTACTTCGTCGATTGTTACGCAAGATCTGGAAAGAAAATAGTTTTAAGAAAATCAAACCATAAATAATACAGAATTAGCTAATATTTTGGTAGGTAAATTGATCAGTGATGAAAAAAAGTTTGTTATATCGTTACAGAATAAGAAAATGAATCAGTTTTTTTCTGACTTCAGAAAATGCGAAATGGAATTTCATTCCTCACCACATTTTGGAGAACTTTGGGAATCTGCTGTAATATCTATTAAAATCGATCGAAGATCAGTAGTCGACCGAAGATCAGTGGGAGCAGTGATTTTCTCTTACCCCGAATTCACAATCTTGATCACACAGGTTGAAGGCTGTATGAACTCGAGGCCTTTGTACCCACAATTTAATGATCCAAACGGTAGTACTGTTCTCATACTTGGACACTTCCTCATTGATACATTTGTCACATTCTTGCCTGAAGAAAATTTAGAACGTTCGTGACCGGTGGAAGGGGAGACAACTAGTTTTCCCAAACTTTTGGAAAATATGGAGCCGAGAATATCTCTCTGATTTTAATTTTGTTTTCAACAACAAAAAAAATTCACATTATATCAATTTTAAACAGTGATTGTTTACATTGTTCCGTATAAATTTTGTTTCGGTTCTGCTTTGCTGTATCTGAATATGATATTTAAATTCAATTTTAATTTATTATATCTAAATTACAACAGGTTTCAGAGCGTAATTTACCTGCAAGTTTTTTAGTACTTAGATTTTACTATTTTAAAAAATTTTTTATTTATATACCCCCACGAAAAAAGAAGACTAATTATTTTTCACTTGAGTTTTCATTTTTTTTTTAAATCCCTTTTTTTTTTTTTTTTTTTTTTTGTTATTTCTATATTTTTATTTTCGATTTGTAGGCAAATTTGCATTTCTCGCTCGCCGCTGCGCAGTGCTGAGGATGCGTAAAGTACAACGCTAAATAGTTTCACGGTAGAAGCCAGGAAGATGTCTATTTGTGTGTGTGTGAAGACTGTGTGCCCTCCCGACGTCTTGGTTATCGACGTGGTCAGTAGCTGTAATTAATTCTCTTCAATGTGGTGCGGCGATCTGATATATGGAATCCTGACATGGAAAGGATCTATCGAAGATTACCGTGGAAATAGGAATCTAGCTGAATGTCGCCGGCAGCATTTATATGAAGCATCGTATGGAATTGCTGCAGCTAATGACATACCAGTCAAATTAATCGACTGTCATCGATCCGCCCATCTTTTTCATGTTATATTTATTCCTCACATGTCAAAGGTTGACATATCTTGTTCACCGTTTTTGTAAAGCTCAGGGAAAGCATACATTAAAATTTATGTTTAACTTACAGCACGTATGCTGTTTGAGTAAGGGACCAGATTTCACACTACACTCAAACTCTTATCATCATATACGCTATGCTTGAATTAAATTAAATGTTTTTTTTTCCTTCTCCCATTTTAGCGTATATATATATCTCATTAAGTTACAAGTTTATGTTTAACGTACAGCACGTATACTGTTTTCGTAAGGGACCAAATTTCACACTACGCCAAAACTCTCATCATTATCAAATTAAAATTCAGCACGATTCAATACACATATCAGTAAACTTGAGAAATATGCTATACTTGCAGTAAATGTTTTTTTCCCTTTTGATATTTTAGTGTACATATCTCATTAAGTTACAATTGAAAAAAAGGGTCTGAAAAAAAAAAAAAAAAAGGACTACAGGAACAAGGATCTTTTTTTATAAAAAAACATTAACATTTTCGTTTAATTTTATATTATGATTAATGTCAGAAATAGGAATTTTTATCCCTAATTTGCGGTTTAAATTTTTAAAAAAGAAGCGGCTGAAATGCATTATAGAAAGGATCTGTATACGACATAATTCGTTGCTATGTTAATGGTTTTCCACTTTTTTGGTACTGAATTATTTTTCCTGTAGTCATTCTGTGCACTTATGTAAATGCTCTATGCTTGTTATGAAAATAGTTTCTCTTTATATTTTCCCCATCCAAAGAACAGTCTTAAATAACAGCAACTATATTAAACACAAACATTTTGCTATAAAAGAAACAATTTATATCCATAAATCAGCTGCTAATGTATATTTAAGTGGAAAAAGGTTGGAAACAATTATTCTAAATAATAGTTAAAATTTATAAGAGTTCAAAGGCCTTTTAAAACCAAGTTTGGAAAACAAACCTAATTCTTTAAAACATTCATTTGGTTCACCTCTCTTAATGGACAAAAAATTTCCACAACGACTTATTTATCTACTAGACGCTAGAGTGAGTTTCGGAAAAATGAGCAAGCAACAAGCAATTTGCTTATCCAGAAGCTTGCCAACTATAACAGTTAATGAGAAGTGAAGTTCATGGACATTCTTTGAAGGTAAATTTTCTGCACGGGTTCTGAGTTACCTGACTATAAATGCCACGCCCACTTCAAATAAAATATTAAAGATCCGTGCCTCAGTCGGAAGTCATTGATCAAACATCAACCAGAATGAAAGAGAGTGAAAAAATGCTCTGATCAACTCAGCTAACTATTTGAACCGTTAAACAATCCAGATGACTTCCATTCCATCGTGACAGATACGCTCAGAGCAGCATAAAGAAAAATTAATTACTTTCGAAACCCCTAATTAATTAATGCAAATTCTATATTAGTGAAAGTGAATGCCTTAAATTATTTTAAGGACTAATAAAACAAATTTTCGATTTTTTATTTCTCTAAATAATTACCGAGACCATGCTCAGAAAAGCGCTACGACTTCGTTTATCGTAGCCTGATATTCATGTCTTGTTCCTCCTGCACAAAAAATATTATCTTTCTGTCTTTTCCCCAGATTTGCAAGAATCAATGGCAGGTGGAGTGGGCATGGCAATCTGAGACTGGAAACGACTCAGTTTTCACCCCACAATCTTAATCTTTGATCGGACTCTTTTGTTTTTTCTGTTTCCTCCTTCCAGTGGGTTGCTGTGGGCATTGATGATACTTTTGACAGTAATGATGATTATATTTTTTAAGATTTAAAACGACGCAATTAGTTAGTTTGCTACTGGGTGTTAAGAAAGAACTGATGCATAAAAAAATAAGAATTTAATCTTTCACAGGTTCGTGGCTTTTTTATATACAAGTAATTTATATTTTCCCCTCCAGTCGCGCTGCTTTTGCTTTCTTTTGTGTTAGAATTTCCATTATGTGGTCATTTTTGCGTTGAAAGTGTCTGTCTATAGTTTATAATGGAGAGATGATAATGCTAAAATCTAATGAATGTGATTAATTTTATTTTAATGTCTTTTAATAGCTAATAAACGTAAAATTATATCTTGTAGCATAACTAATGTATGATTATGTGATAATACTCATTTGAAGGATTATTTGTTACGTAATTTTAAATTATGTAAAACTAGTTTAGTGTTAAAATTATGGAAATTAGTATTTTTATTAGCAACAAATATTTAATTTTTTGACAAAACAAACTAAAACTTTGTGAGGAATTTTTTTTTCACTGTAGAGTCATTAGGTTTTTTGAAGCAGAGGACATGAAATATGAGCAATGCCATATGAGCCAGGATTCAAACACGGACCTCTCGAATACGCGCCGAGTGTGCTACCGTTGCACCAGGAAGGCATGCTGGAAGGAGGGAGAAAAACTTTTATTAGTTGACTGATTAAGTTGTCTTATTAAACATGTAAAATGATATAATTTTTATGTTACATGTTTGTAGGGTTTATATTTATTTTAACTAACATTTATTTTAAGTTTAAACTACCTTTCCTGTCAAGCCTTACTTTCCCCTGGAACTGCCAATGCCAGAGTATGTAAATTTTAGTAGAACGCGCAAGGATTCAAATTATCAGCGGAAGTATTCGGAGTTAAATAGAAAGGAAACGAGTTCGAGGTGTGCTGTTCTTACTTCACGAGCGCGGAGGTAGTTAGCCAGAAATTGAAGAACCCCGCGTTTCGGCCTGTGTGCTTGCCTGGAAGAATTGTTAATCGTTCAAGTGATCTTCAAGTTTGCTGAATTAGCAGCGGTATTGTAAAACGCGGTGAGGTTAGTTACTTTTAGAGAGCTCGTAGTTAGAGTCTTGTCTTTAGTTTCTTTTCAGGTTATTATTTTATTTTACCGCCGAGTTGGGCGTAGTTTGTGAGCGTCAAGAGCACGCAATTGTAATTTATTACGTTGAAATAAAAAGGGACTTAAACCCTTAACAAGACTCTGTCATTTATCCAGTTTCAACAGTCACCTCTTGGTTGCGTGCAAGTTGGAGGCGCGCAACGCTACATGTTAATCACTAATTTATGATCATCATAAATTAGTAATGAGTATTTTGACTATTTCTCAAAAATTAGTTTCTTTTAATTATTTTATTATAATTTAAGCTGGAATGAATTTTGAAAATTTTATTTTATAACAACATGTTTAAATAATGTTCAAAATTATATATAAGGGCTTTTTTAATTTCATTTTTACATTTCTGTCTCTAAGAAAGCTATTAAATTGTATATAAAAAATAATATGTGATTGGAAGTAACTCAATTTAAAGTCACAAATTTTCAGAAGGAATTCCGCTTTTTTAAATTGTTTTAAAGCAAGTAGAATTGACGCTGTTTTAAATTATTATTACGCAGATAGTTTAAAAGTTTAATTTGCGAATTCATTTTGAGTTATACTTGTTAATATTAATGCTGAACGATTTAATATGATTTATGGTTATTATAAAAATGCAACATATATATTTCAAGACTTTAGCAAGTGGAAAGATTCTTAATTTGTTGAGATTATTTTATAATGATCATGAACTTGTGATTAACATGTAACATAAAAATTACTTCATTTATTTTCGCAGTTTTCAGTATTTAATATGATACTTTATCAAAAGTTAATAAAATTTTCAAAATGTATTCTAACTTAAGGGAGTAAAATAAAATATTTAAAAAGAAATTAATTTTTGTGCCTCAAAACATATTTCATTAATATTTTACGATGATCATCAATTAACGATTAACATAACAGGAATTGTTACTTTTTGTTTAATGACTTCTCAGTTCTTTTCAAGTTTTTGACACTATAGATGAGTATAATGAGGAAAGTATGCAGAAGAAATAAGTTTAAACTGTTTTGTTATTGTGTTTAATATAAACTTGAAGAGATAAGTTTAAACTTGCGTAGTTTAAACTGTCTTCTTGGAATCCAATTTTTTGAATTTCTGAGGGAAATTCATATTTTCATTATAAATTAGTGCTGTTCATTATGTTTCATGGAATAATTTATTATTATTTTTTTATAAGTACAGAAAATAATTTTAGACGTTTAATTTTTTTATCCAAAAATCATTCTATTATTTTCCTTAATTTTGTTTCTGGTCGTTTATCAGTCGCAGGATTTCCGATAAAAACTATATTACACGTTTACCACAATTTCTTTTTATTAAAGACTATTTATTAATGTTACATCTGGATAGTTTCAGTTTATCTACTGTCACTTAAATTGTTAAGAACTAATAGCTTTGAAATAACATCCCATCTTCCATTTCAATGGAAGGGTATTTGTTAATAACTTATTTTATGCTTATAATAAACTGTTAATAACCTTCAAATTTAATGGCGATATATTTAAAAAGCATTTTAATAGCATGACAAATGATTTACAGTTTACTTACAAAGAGGGATTTTTATTAGCATGTTTGAAACGGTGATAAACGCAGAGGGTTTGCATGTAAATAGCAGTCTGACTGGGCCGATAATATCAGAGGATAGGCTTCAACCAGTCAAGCAAGGAGAATTGCTCGTAGCCATTCCTTCTTACCTCCGTGACCATAACCTGTCCTCATCCATAAAAAAAACAGCAAATATCAAATCAACTTCATAATGCCATCTGTTGGCAATAATTATCGACAAATAAAATAACATGCTGAAAAAAAAAAGTCCTTCCATTTACTAAATATAGATTGCACCACAAGAAAAAAAGAGACTAATTAACATTCTCCTTAATTATCCGAAGAGGAAATATTCAGTATCACTTTTTAGCACTTAGTGCAATAAGTCATTTCGTTTTCAAAGTTATTATGTTATTATTACTATAAAGAAGTAAAATTCTGAAATCTTTTCGCACCAAAGGCGATTCGTCAGCTGTACTGTGTATTGTGATTTATAAACATTAACCTGGACGTTATATTAAACACAATAATGTTACTAGAAAGTACAGTTAATATGACTTAAATACCACCTTCGATACCTATCTCAGGAAGTATCAGTTTTAATTTAAATATTATTCAACATATAAATATCCTTCAAGGCGCTATTTAAGAAAAAGCAGTCTTTATTTAATAAGTAGCACTCTAATAAAAGAATTTCAAAAAAAGGGGGGATTAAACTTACCTTCTCAAACGCCTTCTGAGTGCACATCTGACTCCACTTTTCTTGGCATGAAGCTCTGTATCACTGAAGGACGCTTTTGATGGCTTATGTAACACAGGCAAGCCTTGCTCTGTGCAGGAATCAGATTTTGTGTTCTGGGTGTGATTTTGTACTTGATGACATGAATCAGTAAAGATATTTAATGGCGTTCTCGATGAAGCCCCTACCGCCTTTCCTTCAAATGATTTTTTCGTTGACACATTTTGGCTTTCTGGATTTTCTTCATCCTCATCAGTTCGTTTGTAGTCATTGGTCTCATCTGAAACAGATGACGTTCCTTCTACTGACATCACGGATTCATCTGACAATGTTACTTGACTAGATTCGTCGAGTGAAGACTGTCGGCTATCATTTAAGCTTTTAGATGTAGGTGATACTTTGTTTTCTCGAGGCGTATCATTTGAAACATCTGTCTCCAATTTTTCTTTAATATTTCGAAGAGAACCGATACCTTGAATAGTGTGACTTACATTCTTGAAAATATCAAAACCTTGAATAGACCCTTGACTAGAAGTCAGACTTTCTAATCTCTCCTTTAACTTAAAAAGAGACCTGCGCACCTCACTGTCTCTACTTTTTGCTTTCAAAGATTCTTCATATGATGTGGTTTTATCATTGTTACTTAATTCATTTTCAGTTTTATTACAGGGTGATATTGTTCCACATGCATTTTTCTCTGATTTTTCTTCTTCTAAGGTACTGCTATTGCAAGTTATAGCGCTTTCGTTAGAGTCAGTACTGTTGCGAGATACGGTTTTATCTTCTTTCTTAATATTTACATTCTTCAGCACCGATCCTAATACGTTGCTTGGAAAGGTATAAATTCCAGGTTTAGATTTATTTTCTTCTAAAGTAGTTACTTTCGAGTTGAAACGGAGACTTTTAACTTTAGCTTCTAACTCCTCTAATCCATCGGCACTTTGAATAGAATCGTTAGAAACAGGTGTTACTTCAATACCCGTTATTAATGGATCTGTGATGTATCTGAATGGACCTACGGGGGATGGTGTTCTAGAAAGATCGCCTTCATCTTGATCCTTCTTCTCACCTTCATAATTTCTATCTAAAAGAGGGACCGAAGCCTTCGATCCTGATCCTGGTAAATCACAAGGTATCTTCTTTGATTCATTATGCTCCTTTTCTGGGCAGTTTATAGCTTCGTCTGATTCTAAACTCCCAAAACTAAATTTAGCTATTTGAGATGGAGTATTGGGCGATTTAGAAATAGGGGCACTAGATGATTCCTCAGAACTACATGCCATTTTTTCTTCAAGTTTTGGATCAGATATGGGTCTAAGAAGACATCTTCTAGTCCTGGCTAAATGTTCAGATACTTCATTTTTGAGGTGAATGCTGTCCGACTGCGGATACACTAAATTTTGCTGCTGCATTAGTTGATCTATCACGCCGACAGATCCAGGAAATCTACCGTCATTTTTACCAGACTGCGGTGGAGAAGATTCTGCAGAGGATGTTTGGCTGCTTAGAACGGTAACTGGAGACGCCTGAGCAGAGCGACTGCCAAATCTCGAAATGTTATTCCTTAGACCATTTTGAGAATTTAGAGCGTCTATTTCACTGGTACTTCTCTGAATCACAGATATTACACTTTCTTCACTATCAACGCTAGTATCACTCGTAATGCTATTTCCTTTTCTCGGGATGACTGATACAATGGACTCTTCACTATCCACACTAGTATCACTTTTAACAGAACTTCCCCTACTGCAACTTCTGGGAAGCGTGTAAGTTCGAAGGGCAGAAGCCAAGACACCTTGAGCTGCTGAGGCTGAAAATCGTCTTGGGACCTGATGTGAAGAGGAACTGTTGTCGCCAGTATCAACGCTGAGACTTCTTTTAACAAAACCTCTCTGAGATGTAATAGCTGTCGATCTCTCACGAGCTGTGTAACTGAGGGCAGCGTCGTTCCTGTTAGAACTAAGGTCATTGGATCCTGTAGGAGAATCAGCAAGGATATTTTGGGCTTGTTCGTAGAAACTGATGTGTTTCTGCCGCTGTGAATTGAAAATGGATTCTTCGGGAATCTGATCGTCTGCCAACTTGTAAAGTTCAGGCATAGAATAATAGGAGGACAAGTGTCCTTCTACTGTGTTGTTTTCAGGCTTAAAAAATAGAAAATCTCTTTCAGAAAACAATATAAGCAACGGTTTTATAAAAACAAAAAATAATGCATTATATTTCTATTATTTCTGATTATTTACTTTACTTATTTTTAAGGAATATTTGAGAGTTATATATATATATATAGGAAACCTTCAAGTTTGTTTTCAAAGAAACTAAGAAATAGATTAAGTACTCCTATTTTCTCACAAATTTTATGAATTTTCTGCATTAAAAACTAGATTTTATTTAAAAATAATTAAAAGTTTTAATTTATCCAATTAAAGAATATAATTTAAATTTTAATGACTTAGATTACTTATTCTATTTATTGTTTACGTTACGATATAGTAAAAGAATGGCTGTTCATGTTTTAAATTATTTCAAACAGCAGTAAGCGATATTTAAGATTATAGCAAATAATACTCGACATTTCACAAACAAATGCAGCAATATTCTGGATTTTACAGTGTTAATTATATAAGGATTTTTTAGAATTTTTTTGAAATATTATACATATAATAATATTATTTGCTTGCATAACAATATACCTTTATTTGCGATTTTAATAAGTAATTTCAAATTAATGGCACGGAATCTTATTTATTATTATTACAATAATCCTTATCATTATCATCATCGTAAAATCCAAAATAAAAAACTCACCTTCAACTGCTGTGCGTTTTCTATCTGATCCAAACGAAAATCTCCGTTCGTGGTCTCAGGAAATGTATTAGCACTTTCAATTTCTTTGTCTAATTCATCTGATACTTTTGTTGCAGATTTAGCAATACATTTTAAAACTTCACTGTTCTGCAGTTTCATTTCGATCAAACAATCTTTATTTGTCTCGTTATATTTATTAATAGCAGTGTCCTCTCCATCGGGCTCATCTAACGAAACGTCTTGCCGCAACTTTTTCAGAGCATCTGCAGGGCTGTTATACCTTCTTGGATTCGTTGTCGTATCCGAATCCCGAATGACAATTGCACCATCACTTCCTTCGACTAAAACAGATGACACCAAAGATGGCAATCTAGATGGCTTACATTTGGACCTAGGACCCGCAGAACAATTAGGGTTTCCTACTGTTTCCTCTTCTTCTTTCCCATTAGAGACACTCATAGACATCAGTTCTTCTAAGCGCGACATCATAGACACTGTAGATTTAGATCTAACAATTCCATTTACATTAGCTCCCCTTGTTTTTACAACATACTCTCTGGGATCGCTGGCAGTTGATATTCTTTTATGAAGATCAGATAAAGGTTCCTTTTCGCACTTCTTGACGCGCAATAACTTTGGAATCATATTAAAAAAGTCTCCAAGAGATCGAGACTTCTTTCCCGATGAATCCGGATCTACAGGAAGGCAAGAGGTGCATACATGTCTTTCGCAGTTCCCGAAACCGGTTTCCGTAGTTGGACTACCACAATTTTTGCACATTTCATAACCTTCCAAATGTCTTATCTCGATAGGTATGTCGTCCTCATTAGGTTGATCAGGGTAGTCCGATTCAAAGCTCTCCTGCGTGAAAATGTATTTTTTACGTGAAAAATTCATCATAGTTAAGACGATGAGTTAAAATTTAATCAAACACAAATATACCAAATATAAAATTTTCATTAACATTTAAAGAAACCTTTATACAAGAAATTAAGACTCTCTATTTTTTGCTTAACCAAACATAAAATTTCCATCAACGCTTAAGAAGTCTTTGCAAAAGAATTTAAGATATTCCATTTTCTGTTAAGGGAAGGAAAGAAAGGGAAGGAAAGAAACAATACTTTATTAGAACATTGTAATATGGAAAATCTTACATTATTCTTATTTATTGTTCATTGTACTTCAAATTCTTTTCATATTGTGCTCAATTTTTTTTGCTTTTAAATTCATTTGTCTGAAGAAATTGTTAAAACGTTTGTATTCCATATCACGTATATTAGTATTATTATTGATATTTTTATGGCTATTAAAGAGGTATTTCAGTTTAAAAGATTGAAAAAAAAATAATTTTCTTTTAACATTTTCTTGATCGCTGTAGTTCTTAATATATATGTTTCAAAAAGTTTTAAAAATAAAAATTTTCGAACTTCGAAAAAGCTGGAAATGCTGAAGCTATGAAATGTCTTTTCCAATGGAAAAATGTTAAGAATTATTAAACCTACTTAATAATAATCTTAATTTTGATGAGTCATTGAAGTATCATAGTCATCGGTATTATTTCTATATTAATATTAGTATATCGGTATTATATAGTCATCGGTATTATTTCTGTGTATGAACAAGATCACAAGTTGCTTTTCCATCTATTGACAATGTGGGTTGCATTGTCAATTCTACTAGCACCAGTAATGTATGAAAAACGGAGATAAAACCTAAACGACACAACTGAAATAACTACCCATATACTTAATGACCGCACAACACTGACCATGACTTCGTTTTCTGAAATCTAAACTTCCAAATCAAAACTTTCTTTAACATGTAATTTTATGTTAGGTAGATTTTATGATTTGCAGAACTATGGAAAGATTTTGAAAGTGATCCTAACTAAGAAATCGTTAAACATTTTCCCCCAAAACTTTGGAATAACTACTTTTACTGATTCCCAATATAGAATAATTCATCAAAAAAAGAAAAAGAAAAAGAATATGATTGCAATTTCAGCTGTATTTGAACAATCAGTATCTCTTATGACAGCCGTGACTGCCATAGTATTTCAGCGTGGTATCCAACGGAATCTGAGAGAATTTTTTAGCAGTCAGTACTCTGCGCACTTTTGAAAATTCTTGAAACTATCTCTCGAATTATCCTGATAATTGTGGACATAGATAACGAAGTTCATGCGCATCACTGAAAATTCTCGAAACCACCTCTTGAATCGTTACGATAATTCTGGACACACATTACCTATTGCTAATAAATTTATTAGTTCATGCCGGGCTATATAAACGTTTCTTCGAGCACATATTTCATTTGTCTACAGCCGAACTCTTCAACCTAGCTGTTTAATTTTGAGCTGTTTTTCAAATACACAGCAAATCAAAATTAATGTTGCAGAAAGAAAACATACCTGTCACTACTGTAATGAATTTATTTCGCAAATACAGATAAAACATGAACGCGTAACTTTTCATATTTCTGTGGACATGCACAAATGTTTGATGTGGAGGCATTTTGTAATATGGCAGACGTCCGCACAATAGTTTAGTTCATAAGATCTTGCCAAATAGATGTACGGATCCACCATATTGTAATTGGTAGAGCCATAAAGGCGGTCAAATGACTTGCCGTCTCGTCTTGAATTTCGAAGTAATGTAAATCAGAAGAATGTTTAAAATAAATTATTATCAGGCTAACGGTTACACAATACAACTTTCCATTGGGTTACCTAACCTGTGTACAGAAAATAAATCTCTAATTGAGTCTATAAACAGAGGATATTTTAGAAAATAAAAGATCAGACTTTAAAAATTAATGTTTACGGGAGCAAAATTTCATGTTATTGCCAGAAATTTGTAGTGATTCAGCAGCGGGTGCAGCTGCAGAGCGGCAGTACTAAGGGGTGAAATATTTTAGACATGCCGGGTGCAAAATGACTGTAACCCAGAGTCGTAGCTAGGGTTTTCAGCGCCCAGGGACAACTGAAGATTTCGCGCCCCCTTCTGCTTGCCAAGGATGGAAAACATTTAATTCTAAAATGTCGTAACATCAGTTTGGCGCCCCTTGGATCCTGCGTCCGGGAACGGATGCCCCCCTCTAGCTACGCCCCTGCTGTAACCTAGTGTGATATAGTAGTATATTACTACGTACGTAGTATATTTACTATGTGGCTACTTTACTCTCGGGGAGGAAAGGATATTTTTCCTCCCGTGTCTAAGGCCTAATTCATTTTTGAACTCATTTCTTAAGTCACCATGTCATGGCTCAATAGGTCCTTATTTCGAGCCTCGACTCTAGCAGAGCAGCAAACAACAATCACTGGAGCCATCTATCGGCTAAAATTACCATTAACAAATTACAAACAGTGCTCTGTAACAACAAATGGTACAAATTCAGATGGCACCAGCAGACAAAGTAAAATCTAACGGCGGCAAAAATAATTGCACGACGCCGCCGTAAATATTTTATTGAGAAATAGCACAACGTCTAGATTAAATTTTCATTTTCCCTTGCCTTGCGATGAAGTGCACGCTGGAAAGAATTCAGTTTTGCTCCTAACGGGTTTACTAACTGAAAATTCAACTACTTTTGCAACAATTTCCTGTAACAGCACTTACGTGTTTACAAATTAAGTTTTTTCTTTAATTATTTTTCCTTGTTTGAATTACTGTCAATAATTCAAAAAAAGATTGCGGTCAATTGCTTTGAAGCATCTTGCACAGAGATTAGTGGGAGGATTTTAAACAACTTACGTTGAGAAAATATTGACTTTTTAAAAATCGTTTTGCTTTCCAATCGGAAATTTGAAAAGATATTTTGCAATTATAAAGCGATCGTATTACGTCACTACATCATATCCTAACAGTAGCAGAAATGAATAAAAGTAGTAAAAGAAATTTCAGTTGGAAAAATGGCGAATTAACAGTAAACTTTGAGAATAGCAAAGTAAATTTATAAAAATTTAATACTTTCTTGAATTCATGCAAAATTTTAAAAATCTGCTTTCTTAAAAATAGTAAAAGAAATTTCAGTTGGTGTGTATTTAATTATGGCAAAGCACACTAGGGCTATCTGCCTAAGAGGAGGGATGCCTTTCGTGGAGGACTTTCTAAGGGAAACTGGCTCGTATACACGTAACACATGGGGAAAACCACGAAAACACCCATGCAGCCAGCCCGTTCGCGGGATTCGAACCTCGGACCAAACTACCAGTGTACAGCGACTTTACCGCTCGGCCGCTGGTGGGCCTAAATTTCAGTTGGAAAAATGGCGAATTAACAGTAAACTTTGAGAATAGCAAAGTAAATTTATAAAAATTTAATACTTTCTTGAATTCATGCAAAATTTTAAAAATCTGCTTACTTAAAAATAGTAAAAGAAATTTCAGTTGGAAAAATGGCGAATTAACAGTAAACTTTGAGAATAGCAAAGTAAATTTATAAAAATTTAATACTTTCTTGAATTCATGCAAAATTTTAAAAATCTGCTTACTTAAAAATAGTAAAAGAAATTTCAGTTGGGAAAAAAATGGCGAAATTAACAGTAAACTTTGAGAATAGCAAAGTAAATTTATAAAAATTTAATACTTTCTTGAATTCATGCAAAATTTTAAAAATCTGCTTACTTAAAAATAGTAAAAGAAATTTCAGTTGGAAAAATGGCGAATTAACAGTAAACTTTGAGAATAGCAAGGTAAATTTATAAAAATTTAATACTTTCTTGAATTCATGCAAAATTTTAAAAATCTGCTTACTTGATGAAAGAAATCTTTCTTTGTTGAACTAGTGTCTTTGCAATTCTGCCCAAACTCCATGCTCTCCGATACACAAGGTTTCCGACAGGACCTGTAAAAGTAAGGTCTGGGAGTTGATTTTTTGTTGAAGGTATCATAAGGCGAGGATACTGGGTTGTTAGACAACTTCTGAAAAGCTCTCCTCACAAAACTGTAGCAAGTTTCATTCGGACTCGAAAGTTCCGAACTACTTTGGCTGCTGTTCGGTGCCGCTCCACCACAATACTCTACAGTGCCCGCACTCCGGTAACGTCCCCTACCATTTCGATATTTTTGTCTTTTCCTGTTAACAGCCACCTGCTGCTGGTGACTTTCACTGTCCGAAATGTGAGAATAAGCATGATAGACCAAAACGTCATCATCGCTGGTGGTTGTGCTGGTGAGTTCTCGCTCCACTGAAGACCCTCGATCTGAAACAATTAAGGTGAAAGGAAATTGTCTTGAAAAACTTTTTAAAAATTACTTTATACATCTCACCGCATTTTCACATGTCGTAAAATTGCTAAATTAACTGCTGTGTTTTGAATGCAAATCTTAAATAATTATAATATGCGTTGAAAGAACCATATTATCTGTTCTTTTAAAAAATAAGTCGTTATCTTGTCTATCACAATTCACTAGTAGTTTCCAAATTGTGAGCTACTCAATATTTATTGTGAATGCCACGTAGAAACATGTTAATTATCCCTTATGAATCAATAAAATTGTGTTTTCCTTTAATTAAACTACGTGGCTTCACCTTTAAAGAAGTATGTATAAATTTATGATTAAAGCGATTTTCGGGTTATCTTGCTTGTGGTTTCAAATGCTGGAATGTTTGGCGCTAATGTAAATATCTTCTTAATAACGTGGATAAACATGTTTCTACCATGTTGGTTGTTATTAAGCATTAAAAACAATTCGAAATCATATATCGTAAACATTCAAGAATTTATAAAGCATTTTCTCTCTCCTTTCCTCATTTTTCATGATGTAACTGGAAGCGTGCTCGATGCTTAATTGGGAAGCAGGGAGATCGAATCTTGAACAGGGCACTGCACATTTCTTCACTTTCCTGACTTCGGTGGCATGGGGAAATCTAAGCGTTTTTACAAATTCTTTTGAAATTATTTTATACCTTTATACCCACCTATGAATATATGTACAACTAAAAATCTAATTTTTAGGATTCCCCAAATAAAAATTTTTTGGGAAACAATTTTGAAAATTTTAAATACTTTTTTTAATTTGAATGCTTCTTATTTTATTACTCCTATACATTTATTATCAGTGTAGGATTTATTACGCAAACTGATTCATAGTAAAAATGCATTAAAATATGCTTGTCATATAAATATGATACATCTTTAGTGTTTCCTTGTGTTTCAGCCCCCAGAGCTCTCTGCCTGTCTGTGAGATATTATTTCGCAATGCGCAGATTGTATGCGTAGTTCGCATTTTGTTCTTGCATTCTTAAAACCGCTAATTGTAACTCTGTCGTTTTACCTTGTGCTGTGTTGTGTTCGAAAGTTAAAACCGCCGAATAAAGGTTAAATTTACAGTCCACTCGCATTGAGGTATTCTTAGGTTTATTAATTTAAAGTTAAGATACCGCTTCGCTACACCTTGTTTCCTGCATACTATTTTTTTATTATGCTAAATTGTACATCGTAAGTAACAAAACATATATGTTGGAATAAAAAGGGGAAGTATACGATATACTTTTTGTAACAAGGACGTAAATCTAAAATTCATACGCTTCTTATCAAACTGACATTTAATAATCAAAAAACATGTAGTCTCAATCTTTTTTGGCAGCATACACTAAGTTAAGACTCTAATAGAACTAAATGAATTATCATGTCTAGAATGTAAACAGAAATGTAAGAAAAGTGTATAAGACCCTTTTACTAATAACTAATTAGTTGGATAAAAGGCAATCCTGGTGCTTACAAAACCAGACACCATTTATGGCGCAACTCAAAAGTAAGAAATTCAAATTTAAACTAAATCTCAGAATTAAGATAGCCAAAGACTACGTAGAAATACTCGTATTTAACGCGCAAGTGGACTTAAACTTGCACCGGCGTAAAATCACTATCGGTAGGAAAAACTAATGCCGCAGACAGAAACGCTATCGTAGAATATCAACTAGTAAACGTGGTCTTCAACAAACGGAACACGCACTGACTAAAGAAACCTAAAACCTTTTAAATATTACCTCTTTCTGCCTCATTTAAGTACACGCGAAGTCAATTTGTTTTCTGGCAGGAAAACGGAAAGAGAGAAGTGAGAGTAAAGATGTGCAACATAAAATAACTGGTAATTTACAAAAATAACTACCTTACAAACGCACGTTTTCTTGAAGTGATTTTTCTGAAAATTTTAATCATCAAGAAGAAAAATTAAATAAATTATTCTAATTTGATGTTTCATTAAGGTTTTTTAAAAATCACGATTAAGCTATTGCCTTAGTTAACAGTTAAAGAAGTCTGAAAAATAATAAAACAGGGTACTCCCTCCTCACAAAGATCTGACCTAAAATTCGCAAAAACTCTCCATTAAATTCAAATCCCAATATCAAAAATCTCTTTTAGTGTTTAAATTCTCTTAACTTAAACAAACCATCATTTTTTGCTAAAGTACCAATAACATGCAATAGGAATCGGTATATAAAGAGTAAATTTGCACTACCGTTGTTTCGAAGGTTTATAACTAAAGAAGAGAGTTTTGTTTAACCTTCCAAAACGTATACTACTGTAAATTTATTCAAGTTATGTCGACTCCTTTTGTTTATTATAGGTTTCTTCAGCATACATCTTCTGTAATACGATTTGATTGACATATTTGTTGGATTTATTCTGTGGAATAGTTCATTTTTCAGATAAAGAATGTATTTGACAATATATAATCTACCATCATACCTTGTTACATTCCAGCATTTTTTTAAAAGTAATCGAACACATCTTGTGTGTCATCGAACACAACAAGCCCCTTTTACTCGCGCACACTGTGGTTGAATTTTTCTAAAATTTTCCTCTTCAAGAATGCGGCTTCTTGGTACAAATACCATACAGTAATTTCCAAAGCCATCCTCTTTGTCCAAATTAATTTTATTTTCAATATAAAATAAAGCTGTAAGGAATTACTGAATTTTTTGTTTGCATGTCGAAGTGTAACAAGTTAGCATATACACCTGGCAAGTGAAAGCTCGGTGATTCGAATCTCGACGAAGGTATAATTGTTTTTTTCACATTTTCTCCTCCAAAAAACTTCAAAGTTTCTACAATATTTTCCTACTTTGCTTCAAAAGTAACAAGATTATGGGAAGTTCTAAATTTAACAATTAATTACATTTTTATTGGTAATTAAGACTTTATATATTATACATCATGCATACTTCGGTTTGTGCCAGAAAATTAAATTCTTCTTATGAATAACTTCGAATTATAAATAGCTTTTTTAACAATGCTTGTCTAAAAATTTAACGGTTTAAAAAACCAAAGCCTATCTGAGTACTTAGATTCTTCTCCAATAATTTTTTAAACATGTGGGACTTTGAAGAGTGTTTATTACGGTGTAGTGGTGGAGAACGTTTATTAATATGATCAGGACAATCCAAGTCCTATAGCTTGCCTCTCAACGCTTCTCATCAATTACTGATTCATATTTCGAACTTTTAGTACTATCCACTTAAGCATATACCTAATACATCATATCACCTTTCAGTATTTTATCAAACTGATTGCTTTGAAAAGTCATCTAGTTTGCATAAATTGCATCTCTTTTTAATGTTTTTTCTCTTTAATTATTTCGCACAATTCGCACTAAATAAAATTATTTTGAACAGTCATGCAGTTTGCACACATTGCACCACTTTTTAATATTTTATCTCTTTTAATCATTTCACATAAAACGTAAATTATTTCACGTGTTTTATCTCTTTTAATTATTTCATGTAACAAACATGTTTAATTATTGCACATAATTATTTCATATAACATAGTACAAACTGCACTAAATAAAAAAATGATTTGAACAGTCACGCAGTTTGCATATATTGCATCACTTTTTAAAGTTTATCTCTTTAATTATTTCACTCAGTTTACACTATCTGTACTGACTTAAATTTTTCACGCGAGATAAACTTAGTTCAAGGCAGTTGCAATATTCTTTTCTTCTGTTCTATACCGAATGTGCTTATTCTTACAATTACACTTTTGTCTAAATTACATGAATGCTTATAGCTCATCTTTATTACCGTATATTCAGGCGTATAACGCGCACCGATGTATAACGTGGACCTATATTTTATAACTACATTTTTTTTAAATTTTAGGTATATTCACCGTATAATGAGCACCCTTTTCTTTCCAAGGAAGCCTGAAAGATATATGTGCAATGCTCTTATCTTTTGAAGTCATTAATTTGAAGATCTTCCGGAGGCTTTTGGACAATGGTATACTGAATTGACAAGCGATAAGGGAAACAGTAAATAATTCTGCCAAAAGGAAGGGTTGTATTCATTGCAGATGTGGAAAAGAACGCTACTGTAGGGTTTCGAGAAAAAATCAACATAATTTGGGGTAAGTACTTCCGACCCGAATGAGTTCTTGAAATTATCAGTTGTATATTTTTTTTATCTGTAGTCATTTGAAGCTGTAATTTTTGAAGGCTCAGGTGCAAAGCACATAGAAAACAGGCTCCTAGGCTAAAAGCCACATCCTGTGTGTAACGCATGGAGAAATGGCATGACTTTCCTACCACAACATTAGGGAATATTGGTTGAGAATTCTAGAATAGGATTCTCGATGTTGAAATGAGCCTTGCGTATAACACCTTCGGGGGTACTCCGACTAACAGACAGTAAAACTGCGCTGGTTGAAGAAGGTAGAATGAGAAAAATTGAAAAATTAAGTCCAGAATATAGCTGCGTGAATTTTCTGTATTCCTATTGGTCCCTTATAGAAGGAGTGCTTAATCTTTCCTAATCTTAGGATTCTGAGAAGTTAATAAGTAGCCTAGCTGCTTGAAATCCTGTTTGTAATTTTTCTGCTGGATACTTTCCTGCTCTGATTTTACCAATACATGAGATGATCGAAGTTAGGAATGCGTTAATTTTTTCATCTTGAATCCATGTAATTCATCTTGAACCCATGTGATTTTCATCTTGAATCCATGTATAATAGCATCGTTTAAGTCTTTCGGAGGCGGGGTGATTTTCTTTTCAATTTCTCGCTGTAAGGGGCTTGAAGGGGATTTTTCTGCGCTGGGGTCGAGGCAGTCTTTTGGCTAGGAAAGTTTTTCTCAGAGAGTTCGGGAGCATTTCTTTTCAAATTTTTTCTTATGCTGGCTGCAACCTCTATAGCTGCTCACGTGATAGAGTCCGCAGAAAATACATTTTGGCTTGTCTTCGGGTTTCATGGTACATTGATTGCTTCGATGTTGTTGCCCATATTTTACACATCTAAGAGGGTTACTGCAACAAAATTGAGAATGACCGTATTGCTGGCAGCGGAAACATTGGACTGGCCTTTTCTTAGGGTTGAATTTTTCTATGGTGACGTTGAAATTGAACATATTATTGAGCTGGTGAATCTTATTTCCTTCTGGGGCTTTTTTTAGTTAAAGTATGTAGATGGGAAGTTTAATTTTTTCTCTTCCACGATTTTTGGAAAACAGCTTAACTTTTTCGATTGGATAGTTCCTGCGTTTAAGGTCTTGGTGTATGGCATCTTCTTTGATGGTGGTGGGAAGGTTCTTCATAATTAACCTGAATCGGTTTTTCGATTTCTAACTGGTAGGAGTGATAGGGAATTTTTTTTTTCTAGTAGAAGTTCATTCATTGCGCTGTAATCTCTCAAGTTCTTAGTGTACACGAAGATGGATTTCCCTCTCATTTGGCATTCGTGAGGATCTGTACAGTTTAGCGTGAACATTTCATCCAGTGTCATCCAATAGATTTCGTCTTGTGAAAATACAGTGAATGGGGGCGGGTTGTTAGCTTTGGCTTCTACTTCGGGGTTTTCCTCGGTGATTTTCCTGAGTAATTGAAAACGGTTCTCTTGTGGTTTCTCCATCGGTATCGGCTTTTCTTAAATTTTCGCGATCTTCTTTGGCGTAGTCCAATCACTTTCATTATCAGGAATAGTGGATACTTGCTCCGTTTGCTGCCTCTTGCTGAAGCGTTTGGTAGTTTACCTTGCATGTTCCAACATAAGTTTGTCCTGTTCATCGAGGGTTTTAGCTTCCTTTAATCGTTGTTCGAATTCCTAGTGATGTGTCAGATAGTCAGCTCCGAACTTCTGGATACGTTTCTTAATTTTTTTCTTCTCTGGCTCTTTCCGCATTCATAATTTCCTTCTCCGAATTCGCATTCTCCTTTTTGGCTTTCACTTTTTTCTGAGTCTGGGATCTTTCATAAATTCCTCACGTCTTGAAGTAGATGACAGCGACAAAGTAGATAGCCCAGAATCCGTGCAGTCACTAACTTCATCATCCGTATTTACTGCCCTTAAAAAACTACACACTTGCCGTGTTTTTTAGACTCCGACGAGTGATCCCTAAGGGAAGTCTAAAAATTACTCAGTATAGCTATAAGTAAACTCGCTGACCGCCTATGGGACTGGGTCAGTTCGTAGAAAATTGAGTAGTAAACCAAAGTGAGCCCAACACGCTCGGAGTCACAGCTCGGAATAAGCTGTGATTTTGAAGTGAACATTAAAATATTTAGTAAATCGCATTTGTTTTAGCGGAAATGCAGTTGATCTAGAACTCCTTTTAGTAGTAAATATGGCTTCTGCCGAACGAAACAAATGTAGTGTTTGCTTCAATTTCGAAGTCATTTAGTTTGAGAGAAAACTTTAAAGTAACTTGAGTTGATGCTGTGGATTTATGGCACGGAATAATTTAGTTCTGCGAGAAAAAGAACAGAAGTTTTGCAAAGAGTTCCGAAAATTCTGGACTACAAGTTGATTAGTTTCCAGAAGTCTGTCACATATTGGAAGTATGTATGAAACACTAGTAATGTTTGATACGATAAGAAATAAAACAATCTATGTGAAAGGAATAAAAACGGTTCAGCAGGTTACGAAAATTCTCACCTCAACCGTGCGGTACAAAATTAATATCCGCAGTTATTAAAAAAAAAAAAAAAATACGCTGCCGTAATGTGATTTCCGGAATGATGTTTTCATTCATTGCTACGACAAAATCCCCAGTTTAGAAATATTATGTGAGTGGATAATAAAGCGTGGAATGAAATTAAACTCGAAATAATTCAAATGCATTTAAAAAAATGTAATATATCTAATCTGGATGGAACTGAAGATGATTATTTATTTATGGATCAGAGTAACAATGATGGTGAAGATGAAACATGGTTCTCGATAATGAGCCTGAAGATATAACGGAAGATGAATATGAAAAACTGCTTATGTTATTCGATAATTAAAAATTTTAAGTTTACAAAATATGTCATTTCTTTAAAATAAACAGCATTCTGTTACATCTAAAAATCTTTCATCTTTTCCTTTCGTTTTTACATCCGGCCCATAACGCGCATGCGTAAATTTCTATCATATTTTTTGTATTAAAAGTGTGTATTATACGCCGGATTATACGGTATTTAACAAAAAAAAAAAAAAAAATACCCCAGAATAGATATTTCATTCCTTTTTTTATTTTGATGAGAAGAATTATTATTCTTTTTTGAAATAAAAGAAGAGAATACATCATAAAAGCAACTTCTCCTTTTCTGCTTATTCAATTTTATTGCAACGAAAATGATGAATTTATTTTTAGAATGGGAATTTATTTCTTCCAGATTATTAATGATTCTACAATTTTTGAAAAATATTTTCCCTTTTTTTATGTAATTTCTTTCTTGATAAACAATTACTGAAAAGTATTATTCTTTAAAAAGCAATATTTCCAACTACAGAAATAAAAAAGATTTGCAGGTTTTAAAATGTTTTAAATAACAATAAAAATACGATAAAGATTGGTGGCAAAGATAATATTTCAACAGTTTCATTCACATAAAAAGGAAAATTTAATAACTGTGGATGAAAAATTGAAAAACTTTGAATGGTTTTAATTTTTTTTTGAATGCGATATACTATAACTGATAGATCGAGTTTAATGATAATTAATAATAAGATTTAAGTCATTGCTTCTTTCTGATCAGGATAGCTTGAACAATTAGTGAAATGTTGATTGCAAAGAAGTCAGCATTTTATCAACATCAAAGCTTACTACTCTTGAAATTAAAATATCACTTACTCTATTTTAATACTGTCAAAACCGAATATATAAATTTAGTCTCAAATTGAAAAAATTTAAAAGCTTCTTTACAAGCTGTTGTTTATTTCATTTTGCCTTTTAATTGATTACATTTTTACTTTTTATGCAGTAGAATTTAGTTTGAAATAATTAAATATGGTTTATGCAAGTTTCAATGAAAGTGAATTTTTCGAGATATCCAAAACATGATTAATCAACACAGCAATCTATATATCCAAATGAAGCAAATAAATAAAAAATTACTAATATACAGATTTTATGTTAGATACTTAAAAATTGTAGCGGATTCCAGGTAGGTAATTTTTACTCAGTCATTTCAGAGCAAGCTGTTATGCTGTGTATCAGGTTTTTATGCCACGGAAAGCGTAAGTTTGGAAAATAAAATAAAACATACCTTCGCTGCTGCTTTTCACCGGTTCATGCCAGGGAACTAAAACATCTTGAGAATCAAACTAAATAAAAAAAAAAAAAAAAAAAAGTTGAAGATAAAAATCACTCAAATTATTAATAAACAGGCTCTTTAAAGGTAACAGATTAACACATAACAAATTTTGCCCGTGGTAAAGGTTCATCAAGAAAATTTCCGCTATTCTGAGCTTCCAATTTTCAGGCGATGACGTAATTCAATAGTTTTATTTAAAATAAGCCCTTTAGTGTTCAATGCCTATTTTTTGTCTGAGAAGCATATTGATCTAGCGTAAATAAATAACCTCTCTTTTTCTGAATTCAGAAATTCTTGAAAGGTAATCTAAATCTTGTCTTTCATGAAAATATTTCTCCTTTACAAACTTGGTCAGACAGCAAAGGAAAAGGAAACTATCAATAGTTGCAGACGCATAAGGATGATATGGGGTTGGAGGAAGATTTTCAAAACGTGATTTGTATAGTTTTCCAAAATTTATGATGCTTGAGATATGAAATCTGGAATTACCATACATAAAGACAGGGTATTTTCTATTGATTGATTTTCAGATTTTCAAATTTTGACCAAAATGTATTGGTATCTGATTCCGCTGCTTTTATATTTGACAGCTGTTACGCGTTAAAATAGCTGTTGATCAAGAAACTGTAAAGGGGAGGAGATGCAGAGGAGAAGCGATCAAAGAAAATATCCGATTCTAAGCATTCGGTTGAACTTCTACTAGCGTATAAAATAATCTATTATCGCACGACGAAAATATGAATTTATGTTATTATTATATATGACCTTTTCCTATTCGCATAAAATACAGCTTCCGTCATAAAGCACTTTCAGATTAAAAAATGGTTATTTTTTATCGCCCGAAAATAACACTTTGCATTAACTGCTACAATAATTTTTGAGTTATTTTTGAGTTATTTATTTTCAAGATTTTTTTACTTTTCAGCATAAAGATTCAGATTTTAGTAGCGAAATATTTACGTAATCAACATGAAGCTGATTCGCCACAGTACTATAAAAACTCCACGGTGTTTCACTAAATCTATTCATGTTATTCTCGGATTGACTTTTATCAGCTTTTGTAGAAGATCATTGACCGCGTTACGTAATACATCTTCAAGATTTAAAGATCATTCCCATTCTTTATGTAAATCTTCAAAAACAGGTGTGCATATGTTTAAGGCTGCCTGTGCGATTCGGTTACTAGTTTAAACCAATAAAGCGACACAAGCAGAAAATCACGTTCTTCTGTTTTGAAATATTTGCTCTGGCAAGCATGATAAAAGTGGACAAAAGAAATCTTCTCTTGACAGAGAAGACTGAATCACGATAAGCATGGCATATTAACTTGTTTTGAAATTCTCATAATGCGAAAGAATAGTAGTATTGCGAATTTTATAAAAAGCAAAATTGCAGAAATGGCGGACACTTTTTTTCTTTTATTTTTGCTGCATAAAATGTCACATTTATCTATAAAAGCTTCAGAAAATTTTATATACTTTACTAATAAATTTACTGTATTTATGAACAGAATTATCACATATTACAATACATTACTAAATAACATATCACAATAGATTACAATAAAATAAAATTACTATACATCACAAACAGAATTACTGCAATATGGTAACAAAAGTAGTTTTTCTGCCTTTATTAATCTAAATACAAAGACATCTTTTGAACGAAATAGATACATAATTGAAACCTAAGAATCACAAATATGTATTTCTTAGAACGCTTTTAATATATTAATTCGTCATTTCTCTTTTTTAATTCTTTTTTTTTTAAAAGAATATGTAGAGACACTAGTTTTTTTTTTTTTGGGGGGGGGGAAAGCAGGCAAGATGAAAAATTAGCAAACGCCTTCGCCGGATATCGAACCACGGACCTCTGGAATACCGGCCAAGCGTGCAAAACCACTACACCACAAAGGCATGCTAGGAAAGCGGGGGAAATACCTTATAAATACATGTATAATGTAAAATCACATCGAATATATTTTGAACAATTAAAATTATGTGCTTCATTATTTGATTAAATTTATATTTAAATAGATAGTCTATAAGAGTATTATCGGCTAAATTCAAAATTTTAACATTGAAAAAGTAAAAATTGTAATTAGAATGAATGATAGTTAAAAAAGGATGCATTCAGAAGCAAAGCATTCTAAAATAGGTATATTAGCAAACCAATGATCTTTACATTAGAATGACATGGTTTTGAGCCAAAATTCTGGATACATCTAAGTGTTTAATAAGCCTGTATGATAAGAATAATTTTTGTAAATTTAAAATGTTGAAAAAAATGAATCGTTTATATTTTGGTTGAAGTAAATATTTATAAGTAGCCAAAATATGAAGCCTGTTCAGTTATGACAGACAGGAATTTAACCAAAAGCAGAATATCGAAACATTTGCTAACTCCCTTATTTCTATATTTGTTGTGTATCCTACAGATAACAATATTTTTAAAGCAGTTAAAAATAAGTTCATTAAACTAGTCTAAAATAGAATCGAATAAGATGAAGGATCAAAACGTTACATATATCTAACTAATACGGTGTAGCTCTTCTTGTAAATAAAAAACTTCATTCACTCTGTTTAGCATGAAATCAACGAAATACTGGAGTCTTTGCTACGGTATAGTAAACACGGTGTATTCTATAAATATTCATAATGCAGACATGTTTGTTATATATTACTGTAAGTCATTAAATGAAATCTGCATAATGTTACATGTTCAACAGTACTTAAATCTAGAAAGTCTAACAGGTTGTGGAATACTTACATTGTTCGCAGAGCCGGTGTATTATTCTAAAACGCAAACCATCACTACTGGCAAGTATGGAATTTATAAAAGTGTATAAATGCTCTGCAGGGAAGTCTGTACACGAGAAGGAAGATTTCAATGTACTGCTGGTCCTAATACAGTACTCCCAATGTTACGCTAGAGACAGTGCAGAATTTACGTATAAGCTACACAAGCTATAGGCCCCCCCAAAATTAAAATATTGTATAAATATAGTACTAAAATACAGTATAACAGACTTATAAAGAGCTCCACATCTCAAATAGCTTATGGCCTTTGTAAGTAAATCCTGCTCTGGGCAGAGACTGCACTCACCAACACAGCAGGATATACTTTCATCATTTCTTGTGGATGGTGCTATATCTTAATGCACCGCGGAAAAAATACGATATATTTCCAGGTAAACTTTGATGGAAATTATTGCTAATTTTTTCGAGAAGATTATACAAAAAAAATTCCTGCAACTAAGTACAGTAGAACCCCGATTACCTAAGATTTGACTAACCGAGTTCCCCATTATCCGAACCCAATGCAATAAATAAAAAAAACGTCATTAAAATAGCTTTAAATTTGCGTTTTACCCAATAATTCAATCCGTAAAGATAAGAACCCCATCGTTACTGCGTTCGAGGATTTAAGACAAAAAGAGTTAGCTTTTAATTTTCTCACCGGACCAGACACGCCGGTGAGAAAATTAAAATTAATTGTGCTACAACAGAGCAGCGTGAGTGACTTAGGCTTTTTTTTTTTTTTTTTGTGTGTGTGTGTGTGTGTGTGTGTGTGTGTCTGTGTATTCTAGTGAGTGGTTGTTAACAATGACTGGTAGAAGAAAACGTGTGATTTTATCACTAGGAGTAAAACTTAGGTATGTGTTTTCAAGTTTATGGTATGTGTCATATTTAGTACTGCGTGTATATCTGTATATTTCAACGTACATATGTTTAATATCGCTACGTACCTGAATGAATTCTGTACGTTTGTAAATACCCTATAGTACTCACAATAAGTATTAAAATTTGCTTTGCATCAATCCGTGTGATCAGAGTTTTTGTAATTGATAATAATTGGGGTTCTATTCTACATGCATACTACTTTCCTCTGGCATTATTTCTTTACAAAATCTGTACATTATTTCTTCATTCTTTCCTTACATCAATTTTTAGTCAAAATATCAATACAAAATTAATATTTAATTTTGTTAAATAGCGATATATGGGGACAGAAAATGTAGACGGAGCACCAGAACTTTGTCCACGGATATTACAGGTTTTGCTCCATCGCACTACTGTTCTAGTACCGCATTTATCAAAGGGCATACTTGGGATCCAGATCAGCAAGGGATATACTACACAATGTGCACCTTTCTCCTGCTGGGCGGCCCATGCATGTTGCCAGTCTGCGTAATGCATTTTGTGTTTCTTACATTAGAATTCCTTCCGAAATAGTAAATGACTAAAATATTTCGAACCGCTCTAATCGGTATAATAGTTAGTGGCTGTATCATTTCGAATCACAGAGAAGGCGTGGATGTTTATAAATGTATAGTGCTTCTGCAGCATGGAGATACTTAAAATACACGGTTAACCGAAAGTCCTCTTAAGTGATTTGTTGGCAGGGGACGACAGACCCTTGGACTCGTCCTCCGGGGATTCTTCTTCTCAACTAGGACGGAACTCGGTAAAGTCATACTATCACGTACATGGTTGCCGAGACCTACGCAAATGACTGACACAATCCTATCTTCTAACTCGATTCTGGACTTGATCTAATGTTACTATCAGACAAGTGAGATAAGTCACAACATATTTCACAAGGTTACTATACTACAATGTTTGCTGTTGTGTGACGTCACTGAATTCCTTAGTCTTCTCGAAAACAAATACTACTTTAATGGTGTTTTCGTTTCTTCCACTTGTATGAGCGATATCGAATTCAAGCAACTGTGTCTTCGTTTCTCTGTTTTCGTTATTTCTGTAAGTAAGTGACATCGGCGTTCGAAAAAGACTAATCTTGTTTGTCTACTGACCTTTATATTTCGAATGAAATTCGCACATCTGTTTCAAACGAACGGGGGAAAAGCTTCTCTCACTAGTGAAATCTAACTACACTTTACCTGAACAAACTTCTAGCCTTTACTATAATTGAAAAAGACTGCTGGGTATTTCAGTTTATCAAAGATACCATGCACGAGTTTTATTTAAAACATGCCACAGTGAAATATTCTTTGTTTTACCTTTCGATGTCTCTGTTCCATAGCCCAGACTGTGATGAGCACCTTCCCTCCAATTCGAAGGACCCTCGTGAGTTCCTTGATGGCGGCCACACGGCGGTCGGTAGTGGCAAAATGGTGGATGACAGCGATGGAGAGAACAGCATCGAATGTTTCGTCCCGGAAGGGCAATCGAAGGTTGTCACAGGTGAGGACCTCATGGTTCTTCGCTCTTGCTGATGCCGTCAGTGCAGCGCAGCGGTCAGATCCGATCTTCATCAAGTCAGGATTGATATCCAAATACTTTCCATTACCACATCCTAGCACATAAAAAAAGATACGTATTGAGTTATTTTTTACATTTATAAGACATCTGAAGTACAGACGAGCAAAACCGCTTCTTTAAGGGATCAGATCAGAACCCTTCGCTTACTGAAGTGAATCAGTTCGTTTTAACTATTCCCCACTCACTAACAATGACCTTGATGAATGCGTTAGGAACAGGCGTGAATCAAAGAGTGGTGTGCAAAGATGGCGGAAAAGCAGAAAGAATTGTGGAATCGGTGGAATCAAACCACTCATTTCCTGGACTGATTTCTTTCAACTGAACTTTAGAGATTCTCTAAAAACACCTTTCTACATAGAACAACAATAAAGTTCTGGAATAAAAAATAAAATGTTAAAAATTAAAAAAAAAATAATGAAAACTAAACTGACGTTTGTTCAAGATAACATTATTTTGTTACTATAATGATATTTTGTTGCTACTACAAAGCACAGTCGTAAAAATAAAATTTTAGTTTGGAGGCAGATCCAAAAGAACAGTTCGCTGACAATACCACTATTTTTTTTATTATCTAATTTGACAAAATGATACCAAATATCGCTCGAGGTTCTTCTATACGGTAGGGTCCACATTTTGTTCTGCAACCTTGAAAAAATATATTAGATGGGAAAATTTATATTTATAAATATTTACTTATTCTAAAGAGAAATTCAGAGATCTTGACTACAAGACGTTAATAAAATAAGTAAATAAATTAAAGTATAATTTATATTTTTACATAAATATGACACAGTATTCGAAGAACCAGAATGAAACTCAAAGGAACAGCTCCGAGCAAGTAAAAAGGGCAAATAATTAAGACTCCGCAAGAGTCAGATTTGCGGCTAGAGCAGGAGCGATGAAAAGAGCGAATAATGAAGATACCATAGGAATCAGATCCGCGGCTAGAGAAGGAGCGATGAAAAGAGCGAATAATCACGACTCCGAAGGACGCAGATCTGCGACTAGAGAAGGAGCGCCCAAGTGCTGACAGCTGGGAATCCAAGGAGCTAGTTCTTGTAATCTACGTATTTTAAACAGATCCTCGCACTGATAGATTGAGAGAAAAAAAAAAAAAAACCCTCCATTTATTTGCAAACAGGGGTGGTCAGTTTCACTGAGATGTGTCAGTTTATATTTAATGTTTTGTTTTTATACTAAATACTAGATGAAACACAAGCAAACCAAAAGCACGCATACATGCATGCATAACACATATACATACATAAAATAGGTCAGAGCCGTTTTCTGTAAATAATAAAGGAAAGAATGCTAACGTTTACATGAAAAGGAATCAAATTTTATCGCACGCTTCCCAACAACAGTTCTTGGTGAACTGTTAAAAAACTACCTTTCCGTATTCATCGGAGAGCTGATATTCGTTCAGTAAAGTGAATCGGTTCCGGAACGGATCATTCATCTCTAATCTGAAGACAATGGGTTGGAAACAATGAAGGAAATTTTTGATATATTTGTTTTTGGCCCAAAAGGCGTCAGCCTGAAAGAGCTATTAATTTCGTTTTGGCATTTTGCTTCGATTCACTATAAACGGCTAATCACTTCTGATGGCGGCACTTGCTTATTCTTGTCCAGGCTTTCTTATCTTATCTAATCATTATTTCCTATCTTGTTCATTTGCGGTTTTGCAGCTGAGGATGGTGGTTCGGTAAAACCATCGAAACTAGTCCTGTGAAAATTTTGAAAATATAACGCTGACTTTTGTTGTTTGACTTCTGAATTAGTATTTGTTCGGCGTGTTATTGTGTCTTAATGTTTATGTTACCAGCAACATATTAAATGACGGCATTTTTATAATACATAGGAATTTTATAGAATGCTCAGAATTTTTAGGCAAAGTATGAAATATGAGAAATTATTATAGACTTTTACTAGGCATTCCATAGAATGATTAATGCCATTTAGGCAAAGTATGGAAAAAAGTCATGATATAAAATACTTGCATTCCTCAAAATTACAAATGTTATTCAAAAGATATTGAAAGTGTGCCATTAAAAATCTTTTATTCAAAATATGTAAAGAAAGATTAAAGTTATACAAAGTAAAAAAAAGGCCCAGACTAGTCGACTTTTTTTGGGTTTGAGCCTAAGGAAAATGGGCAAGTTAGGCCGAAGTGTAGAAAGCAAGTGCAACTCTGTTCAGGGTGAAATCTCAATTCTGAATAAGTAAGTTTTGTTCTCAGCATCTAATTGGATAATTACAACTGCTGTAAAATTATTATTGGCTGATTTAGTGCATTTATATATATATATATATATATACATGTATAGAACTGCTTACCTACGTCGGCTACCAAACTGCCTGGTTCTAACTCAAGCAAGAACTGCTTGACTCTTGGCCATGGCCTGTATCTGGTGTCCGTAAAATGAGGTGCAATTTGCTCGTAGACATCGTGTACGTATGCTTTTTCGAGTGCCAGAGACCGAGCTTGCCTTTCTTCTTGATTGTCCCCCGCCATGACTCCTTATGTCATCCTCAAACTGTAAAAAGGAAATAAATTTTTTATGTAAGAATTCAGTCATATGACAGGTAAGTTTTCAGCAACCTTTTTAAACTTACAATTAAAGTAATTTAGGTAATGGTACAGATGAGAATAGAAGAATATTTGCATTATTCTCAATTGGGATAAAATCATTCGGAATGTTAAAATGTTACCTGATATGGCGGTTTCGACTTGTAAGAAATGAACACGACAATTTGTTATTGGAGGAGTTAAAACATCAAGAAACAGTGTGATATTCATAAATTTGCAGGACTAGTTTCGAAGGTTTATATATAGAACCCACTTCTTCAGCTGCAGAAGTGCAAGTGACGAAAGAGAAGCCAGTGCTCAGGTTTCAGCTGCAGATGTGCCCCCAAATGAGAAACTGAGCACAGGCTTCTCTTTCGTAGGCAAGTAGGTAATAGGCTAATACATGTAATATTGCCAAGATTAAGTTCTTGCATCCAGAGTTTTAGAGATCGAAACAACCCGGGCTCTCTTTTGTTCGAAATTTTCCTAATGATAAACAAATTTTGAAAATTCTGTGCAAAAAAAGTATTATCCAGTGCATAAAAGTGCTGTATTATTTCATTAAAGAGTCTAGCCCAGGTGATTTTTTGCATCTTGAGATTTTTAATAACACTGTTAACTTCTGAAGTACAGAACTGACAATTAATAAATGAAATAGTATATAGCCCCTCAGTACTTATGTCTTTGAGAATTCTTATCATCACGCACATTATCTCACAGAAAAGTAGTATAATCTTTTCTCTTCTAATTTTTTAATAATTAAGCTTTTCATATATATATAATATAAATATGCGGCGAGCCGAAAGTCCTGTTTTGTGGTTTGGTGGAAGGGGAGAGGGCTGGGAGACCCTTGGACCCATTCCACTTCATCAAAATTGGGGGCGGAACTGAGCCAAATCACACTGTCACCTGTTAGGTGCTCAAGGATGTTGCCAACGACAGGAGTAATCTAGCGCTCCTTGTCACGAAGAATTTGGTGGGCTTGGGCTGACTACGTAAGACAATTGAGCATAAGCAGCAACAACAAAGACCAGGTGTCTCGGAATTCATCATCAACTAAACTGAACTAGAGAGAAAAGGCGCGGCAGATCTTCAAATCTGTAAATCCAGCATTGGCCGAGCGGTTCAGACCACTGCTAGTCGACTTGGTTTGGGTTTGAGCCTAAGGAAAATGGGCAAGTTGCATGGTGGTTTTCGCGTTTTCCCCATGTGTAAGTTCTTCGTGAGGGTACCCTTGCACTCAGGCATTCCTGCGATGGACAGCATCTTCAGTGATAAGACAGTTACATCACCATTAGTTATTAGGCATTCCTAACGAATGCTTTAAGTTGCAACTGTCCTGCCTTATTAAACAACAACAAAAGTCTATATCAATTCCAACTAAATATATAATAAACTATAGTTCGACATAATTTTAGATTTGGTCTCTTGGCTCAGCAGTCCATATTTAATTGGTGGAAAAGGTAAGGAATTATCATATTTCTTTGTCACTCGCACTGTAAAAAAAATCTGTAAGGTTACTAAGAAAACTCATGGAAACTGGGATGCCATGGGTTATTTGAGTAACAGTAACAGGTGTATTCTTTGTAACTTTACATGAATTTTGCCTGTAATGGTTACAGATCTTTTTCTTGTAATATCACAGCATATAGATATGTAAGTAGAACATATTTTTCTCATGTAAAATCCCAAACGATATATCTGTAATGGGTTACAGATTATTTGCGTGTAATATTACAGCAAATAATTAAGTAAAGAGAACGCGTTCTTCTCATGTAAAATCTCAAACGACATATCTGTAATGGTTACAGATTATTTGCGTGTATTATTACAGCAAATAATTATGTAAAAAGAACATGTTTTTCTCATGTAAAATCTCAACAGATATATCTGTAACCGTTACAGGTTATTTGCTTGTATTATTATAGCAAATTATTATGTGAGTAGAAGATACTTTTCTTACGTAAAATTCCAATGGTTGTATCTGTTTCTGTATCTGTTATATCTATAGGTTTCAGATTATTTCCTTTTAATATCCCATTAAGTAATTATGTGTGTAGAATATATTTTTCATAGATGAAACACTAAAGGATATGTCTATAAAAGTAAAAGATTTTTTTGTCTAAAATGATGCTTATTATAATAAAACATATTGAAATCAATATGTTTTGAGTAAAACAATGATATCTGTATGTGTGTATATATATACATACAGGTATCATTATAGAGATATATGCAAGTGAAGCATAATAGTTTGGCTTTTTAAGTTAGCCAATTTGACCTCAGAATAGGAATAATTTAAAAGATGTGCTTTCAACAGCATTTAGTGTTCTTTTTCAAAAAGTAACATTATTCGGTTGCAGAGTATTTTTGTTTTATGAAGAGAAACTCATGTCTGATATTATTGAAAGGTCTTTCATATTATCATTTTGATTAATTTAAAAGCTCTAATTGATATGCTACTCCTTACATTAAATCACATGTACAGTCAAAAACCGTTAATCCGGAATCGTCGGGACTTCGGCGATTCCGGATTATCGATTTTTCCGGATTATAGATCATCAGTTTAAATCTGGTAAAATGGCATGCAGAAATTATAAAATTAAAAATATGAAACCGTAATTTATGAATAAAGAACAGTTATGATCTAAAGGGTATCAAAATTTACAAAAAAAAAAAAAAAAAAAAAAAACTTAATGTTTATTTGTTTACTTTATTAAACATTTCTTTCAATGTAAGTTGTTTAAGTTGCTTCGTTTTTTTATGTGATAATACATTCTCTTTAATTCTATAGACAGGCATAATTCTTGTTCATTTACAAAGTTCCGCTTGTTCCAGTCCTATAATTGCTGTGTCGAGAATACCGACTAATTTGTCAATCGAAATTTTTTCGTTTTCAATAACCTCTGTCACTTTCTTCGCTATCGGAAGCAAATTATAATGACGAGGAATTTGATTTAAATCATATCAAAGACAGAGTACATCGAGATGAAATACTACATTTAGTAAGAAATTATAAGCCAAATAAAATAAAAACATCTGCCCTGAAGATAAGGATAGTGCTGACAGATCAACTTCCAATTCATTGCGAGCCGCGGCGTTAAAGATAAACAAAGTTTAGATAAACAAACGTTAAAGTTTAGATAAACAAAGGATATGCCTTTATCCATTTTTTGCAGCAATTCCACTTTTTTAATGGACTTCGAAACATACTTTCGCTTTGTAGATCCTTTACATATTAGTAAATATATATCAGAAATTCTATTTGACATAATCGAAAGTTCAAGCTTACTTTTATAAAATTGCTCTAACAGTCTGCAAAAAATAATAAGCCGAATCGAATTCGAAGTTAAGGAACAACGCAATCTGCAACATTAACTGAATTAGATAATTTTAGCTTAGCTTATACCGTCCGTTATACATTAAACGCGCATTCGTAAACGTATTTTGCTCACACGCATATTCGCAGCCGTAAAGGTCTTACGCGCATGCTCAGAAAGTTTGTAGCTTTGAGGTCCGGATTATAGATCATTCCGGATTATGGGTGTCCGAATTAACGACTTTTGACTGTATATCCTTTACATAAAATAATGGAAGGCATCTGGAATTTATATTTGCCATGTAAAATAGCTGAAAAAAACAGTATGCTTTATTTGCATGTTTTAGTGTCAAATAATAAGATATGTTCTGGAACTTTCTTTTTAGTAATGTTTGCTAAAATAGACACATGTTGCTTTAGGTTTAACTTATATGAGTAAACGTGTTGCATGTTCATATGATCATATTATTACAGTAAAAGATAGTTTGTGAAGTATTTCTATGAAGAACTCAGAACAGCTGTTCTTCATGTTTCAAAAATATTATATTCTCTCCTTCTAAAAAATGACATTTTGAGTAAATTAAAGAATTCAACATAGCAATGAACTTAATTTTGTTACTACAAGGAATTTCAAAATTTTGTTCATACGCTTGAATTACAACGTCCAACTAATCTTTTTATTCTTATCTGCACTCAGTGTTTTTCAACAGTCTGCTATTGTTTGAAATAATAGATGGTAAACTGCATAACGTTTTTACCTTACCTTCAAATAATTTCCTTTGAATTAACAGATAGAAGTCTTTCATTAAAAACCTAATCTCATGCTTTTTGAATAAGCACATGAAACTTCACCAACTGACCTTAATTTTTTAAAGCCTTGCTTCCATTAAAATTCTTGATGCTTAATACAATTATGCCTTTAACAAATTTGTTTCAAAAATTAATACTTCAGTTTAGCTTAAAATTTAATGCATTTTAATTTTACCTATAATTTTTTACAAACATGATATGTAATAAACCTAAGCTTAATATTTACCATTTAGAAAGTAATACTAAAAAGTATTCCTAGTTATTATAAATTTCGAGATTTGCATTCAAAATTGTGAAATATACATGTGACAACAGAAAACAAACTTTATCCTGTCTCTCTCTCTATATATATATATTACAGCATGTTAATTAAGAAGTTTATTGAATTTATAATTTTATTGTGAAACATTATGAAGCAAATAATATGCTAATTAAAATACAGAAGTAAAAATAATATATTACTTAATTCATAAACTTTATATAAAACCTGAAAAAAGAATTAATTAAAAAATAACACAATATAAGATTTTTATAAAAATTCGTTTCGACTGCTTGGAAAAAATGAATGGTTTTTCCCCTCTTTGTAAACCATGTCTCCTAAATAAAGAAAAAAACATTTCTTTTAAAATCATAATCATGCTCTTAAAAAGCTTATAAAAATTATTTTAATAGATGTTTTAAACATGTGCTTATATAACACTTTTAATCATATTTCTTTATAATATCTTAAGTAATTAGGAACAGCTTAAATACTTTAAAAAATTGGATTACAGTGAACCGTCTCATTACGACAAGCTACCTCAGTCAATCACTTTTTAAATTTAACCAGCATTCCTCAT